AGATTCTGGCCATTCTACCACTACTGCTGCATGTGGTGATTGCTTCAGAACCTGCAGAAAACAATCAGCTAATGGGAGGGTAGATTTTTGTTATTGTTTTCTGTCCTCCCACGTATATATTTTTAAAGTTTTTGTGCTTGCTACAACTTACTGCTACAGACAGCGGATTTCAGAACAAATATTGAAAACCACTATCTCCAGGGTAAGTTTAGCAGCTTGTATTTTAAGGACTCATATCATTACTATTGTAATTTTTATCTTGCATACAAGTTGGTGGTCATTTTTGTTAGACATTCAGAAATATTTAGAGGAAGCTTAAGCTGTTGTAGGTGATTGTGCTTGGTTCTGGGGCTACAGGGAATAAGATTCCATTTCTTCCCACAAACGGCTTATAGTTTAGGTTAGAAATGGGAACACAGGAGGTTGGCAGTGATCAGTTCTCCTTGAGCAAGAGAAGCAGGAAAGAGATGACATCTTCACTGAAGAGATGACATCTGAGCTGAATTTTATACATGAGTATGTTTTTCTACACATGAAAGATGAGACTGAAATAAGCAAGGGATCATTAGGTAAATGGAATAAGCCATTCTAATGAGAGAACTTCATGAATGAAGCAACAGGAGGGCATGAAAAGGCCTGTTACATCCAAGTACTTAATAGCAGCTCAGTGTGGCCAGAGGTGTGTGAATGGGGCCGTAATGGAAGATTGGGACAGAGAGCCATCAGGGACCCAGTCAAGAATGGTCTTCTTTGTTTATAATAGGAAGTATGAATTTAATTCTTTAGGCAGTGGGAATGCCATTAAAATGTTGAAGCAAGAAAGTAACAAAATGACTGGTACAGTGGATTTTTATTATTTTTTAAAAAACTACATTTTAGTAAAGAAGGGTAGGTTGGATTTATGGTCAGTATGGAGTTGGGGAAACCAGTTAAAGACCTGAAATAACTATAGCTATTAGAGATGGACAGGAACAAGTATCTAAAGACATTTGATGCTGGATTGGATTGAGGAGAAGAAAGAATCGAGATTGATCTCCTGGTTTGCAACTTGTGTGACTAGGCAGACAGGTAAGATTCCTCTTGATGGAAAACACAGAACAGAAAGAATCTGGGAAGGACTGTGATGAGTTCCATGTGGATAGGTTGATTTAGGGACCTGTTAGATATCCAGTAGTAGGCTATAGGATACATTGGGCTGCACATTAAATTTTGGGAGTCATCACCATATAATTAAAACCACCAAAGTGATGAGGTTGCCCACAGAGAGCATTTAGAGCAGGAATTCTCAACTTGGAATCCAAATATCCTGAAATTACCCAAAATATTGTATATGTGACTTTTGTTAAGGAAAGGACCATATCTTTCTTCAGCTTCTCAAAGGGGGTAAACATTTGTTTAGTGTGAAAAGGGGCTAAGGACAGAGCCCTTAGTACTGTATCTACATAGATTTTAAGTGATGGGCAGGGATGTGGTCCCAGTAAGGAAGGCAGAAAAGGAACAAGAGTGTCGAGAGAATCGTGACAGTAAAGCCCAAGGAGAATTGTCAAGAAGGTGAAGGCTAAAGTCATTGGCTGGGCAATTCGAAGATGGTAAAATTATTCCTGATAAACAGTATGGAATTAAATGTATTTATATTTAATGAAGCTCCCCACAGAAACACCATGGTTTCTAAGAACTGTAATAATAAACATTGGCTTATTAAAAAAGTTCATATGCCTTAGTCAAGTGTCCAAGGTTATCTTAAATTTGTTCTTGCCTTGTCTTTACAGTTTTTTAAAAGGTTTTGTTTGTTTTTAGAGAGAGGGAAAGGGAGGAGAAAGAGGAAGAGAAACATCAATATGTAATCAAAAGAGAAACATCCATGGGTTGTCTCTCACATGCCCCCCAAACCAGGGACCTGGCCCACAACCTAGGCATGTGCCCTGACTAGGAATTGAATCAGCAACCCTTCAGTCTGTAGAACGATGTCCAGGCCACTGAGCCACACCAATCAGGGTGCTATTACAGTTTTTTCTCTCTCTTTAATATCTGAATTTCAAAGCTAGCCAAATCTATCTCTTCATGTTTTCTAGATACTTCATGCAAATCTTAGCTTCATGAAGGCTTTTTTTGCCTATGTTTTTCAGCCTTCCTGCCCTGTCCCTTACCTAACAAATCCTATCAGTCTTTCTCAGTGAAGTTTGTTCTACTTCCTCTGTATCCTCATTGACCTGTTTTTATTTCCCTCTTAATAGTCCAGTGGTGTTTATTGTATTACTTGTGTTTGCAGTTAAAATTGTACTGGTTTGCATTATTACTTATTCTACCTGTTACTATCTTCTTTCTCCAATGAGATTTTACTCCTAAAGGCTAGTATTACTTTACATTTCATCACACCCTCTAGTGACTGAATTTTCACGTATTTATTATAAATACTAAAATATTTGAATGAATTTACCCTAAGGTAAAGATAGTGGAGGAAAATGTCTTTAATCAAAATTCATATGATGCATTCCAAATTATACAAGAGTAATTTATGAATCATTACTATGACTGTATTCCATTTCTGTGGGTAATCAAGAGTTGATTGTATATCAGAATGAATGAGATATGAGTCTTATAAACTTTGGCTTTTATTTGGAATTTAGGGTATTGAATCAATTGAGTTTATTAAGTCAAACCGTTTTGTTCTGCTATTTTTTCAGAGTGGAAATAACTTTTTTGGGTTTAAAAAGTATGCATATAAAATAAAACTACAAAGTAGAAATTACATATTACTAACATTTCTACACTATTTTGCAAAGATACTCATGTTTTGTAAGCATCTTTACCTTCCATAAATTAAGTAACAGTGTGGTTAAATACAAAACTTAGTCACTAAAAATGCAAGTAGCATTATTTTGAAAACAAACTTCAGTGTTAAACAGTGTTTTTAGTTTTGCTGAATGATGGATGAATGATCTTAATCATCTGACTTAAAGCTGGTGTTTCTGTTTCTTTCAGTGTTTGCTGCAACTTTGACATAGCCCAGAGCTATAGTAGGAAAAACTGTAATAGGAAAAAAAGATGAGCAAGGTTGCATTGCTTTATTCTGGGATCAGAAAAATTAAAAACTTTTACAATTAAGGGGAATAAAGTCGGATACTGCCAAGTGTGGCTCAGTGTTGTTGAGCAGCTGTCTGCTAACAACAGTCCCACATTTTAGTAGTTACCCGACAGAAGAGAGGAAGCCATGTTGCGTCTTAGCCAACCTGACTAACAAATGTATATCTGGGCTTGTTTTGTTTTGGGGGAATCAAAATATAGATTTCTGTGGAAGTACAGTTTTGGTGTATATTCTCACACCATAATTTAACCACCTTTTTAAAACAAAACATTTTGACTTTTTATAAAGAAGCAAAGTTTTTCTAAATTCACAAACATTACTGTTTATTGAACAGAAATACATAAAGCTTTGAGATGAAGACAGTGGGGAGAAAATAAGCTCACTCTTCAAAGCCACCTCAGTGCTCCTCAGCCCAATTCATGCCTCCTGAACATGTCTGACACCACATTTCCTAGATCTTCCTGGTTGTTTGGCGTTAGCCAGTTATGAACATAAAGCAGCTGTCGTGGTCATCCTTACTTTATAATAAAAACTTTATTTAAAATTTCAGGGAAAAATAAACGTGTCCCAATTAAGTTTTTATCAATATCTATGAATTAAAATAACTAAAAACTATAGACTGCAGTTTAATCACTTTTCATATATTAGAAGGTATTTTACCCAAGGGCACATGGATATATGTTGGCTATTCAAGAGGACAAAAAATAAAAATTGAGAGACTTTGCTTCAGAAGTTTTTTTATTATACACACACTTGACTACCTTTTTAAAGAGAACTGTAACATGGCATTCCCAGCTTTAAGGGAAGAAAGCATAGTCAGGTCACTAGGGTAGGAAGGCAGGAGTGCAGGTACCTTAGTGGTCAACAGTAGGATGAGGGATAAAGCAAAATATTTTGATTGTTGGTGGCTTGAATGCCAACCTAATGCTACCCAATCCAGTCATGATTTAGTCTAAATACAGTAAGAATTCTCTGGAATCATGCTGTCTGATAGAAATATAATACGACCTACATATGTATAATTAAAAATTTTCTAGTAACCACGGTAAAGTAACAGGAAGCAGGTGTAATTGCTTTCAATTGTATATTTGATCTAATCTAGTAAATCCAATATATTCCAATGTGTAATCAATATTTTTAGAAAGTGTGTATTACACTTAAAGCAGATCTCAATTTAGACTAGCCACATTTCAGGTGCTCAATAGCTACATATGGCCAATGACTGTATTGGACAATGTATATCTAGAACATCTAGGCTTTATGTGCCCATGACATTGAAAAATAGAACTACCCTCACATCTAGTATAAAATATTAAGTTACAGACTTTTAGCAGCGTGTCCAACCTGCAGCCTGTGGGCCACATACAGCTGAGGATGGCTATGGATGTGGCCCAACACAGAATCTTAAATTTACTTAAAACTTTTTTTTTTTTTTGCTCCTCAGTTTTTGTTAGTTTGTGTATTTAGTGTGTGGCCCAAGACAACTCTTCCAGTGTGGCCCAGAGATGCCAAAGGTTGGACACCCCTGCTAAAGGATACCTGCATCTACGGTGGCCAAGTAAGCCTCTCATCTAGATTAGTTCTGGGACTGGCCGTTTGTGTGATCAAGAGAAATACTTTTTGTTTAGTCACTGTTTGGTAAAATACTTGTGAACTTCAGTACTTTTTCTGTAGGTGTAATTCTTTTGCCTGTGGTCAAGCATATTCTGCCACATCTAAATTCTATAAATATTTTATATAATATAAAGAAAAACAGCTTTATTTTTATGATCTGTACATTAATTGCTAGAAATCTAGGACTTTATATATTCTGAACTTTATTTAGAAAAATGATAATGAACACCTTACTCTTTACAGTATTATTTAAATAATTGGGACTGTCATATCTGATTTGCATTTTCTTTTGTATTTTAAGGATATGGAATATTATCTTGTAAAATGGAAAGGATGGCCAGATTCTACAAATACTTGGGAACCTTTGCAAAATCTCAAGTGCCCATTACTACTCCAACAATTCTCTAATGACAAGCATAATTATTTATCTCGGGTAAAGAAAGGCAGAGCAGTAACTCTAAACAATAACAAAGCTTTGAAACCTGCCATTGCTGAATACATTGTAAAGAAGGCTAAACAAAGGATAGCTCTGCAGAGATGGCAAGATGAACTCAACAGAAGAAAAAATCATAAAGGAATGATTTTTGTTGAAAATACTGTTGACTTAGAGGGCCCACCTTCAGACTTCTACTACATTAATGAATACAAACCCACTCCTGGAATCAGCTTAGTAAATGAAGCTACCTTTGGTTGTTCATGCACAGATTGCTTCTTGGAGAAATGTTGTCCTGCTGAAGCTGGAGTTCTTTTGGCTTATAATAAAAACCAACAAATTAAAATCCCACCCGGTACTCCCATTTATGAATGCAACTCAAGATGTCAATGTGGACCTGACTGTCCCAATAGGATTGTACAAAAAGGCACACAGTATTCACTTTGCATCTTTCGAACTAGCAATGGCTGTGGCTGGGGTGTAAAGACCCTTGTGAAGATTAAAAGAATGAGTTTTGTCATGGAATATGTTGGAGAGGTACGTTCAACTTATGTAGCACATAATGTGTGTGGAAGGATTATGCTTTTGAAAAGTTACCTGTTTACCTCAGTAACAAATAGTTGGTGAATTTTGATATTATCATTTGCAAATATGCAGAAATTTCAGGTTTAAGAGAGGGGTCCACTAGCATAGAAATATAAACTTGAATATAAACAGAAATATGAAAAAATGAGATAGTCATCTCTCTCAATGAACACCCATTTATAGTCCATAGAACTGGAATTTGTAAATTTTAAAATAACAGGTATTTTTACATGAAATTCCTAAGAAGAAAATCAGATCTAAATACATGCTGACTTTGAAACTTTTAAATTGTAATTTACTTCATTCTTTTGACCAAATATTGTGTTAAATGTAGTTGCCAAAACTCAATTTTGTCTCAACTTGAAAACTACTGTATAGTAGACCAGTGCTTCATGAGCAAGAGTTGTAGGACAAACATAAAAGCATTTATTATATTCATAAGAAAATCCAAATTCTTTGTAACTCAGCTACAAAGACTATTTCCTACATAACCAAACATTTTTTTATATATATGTACATATACAAAAGTAGTATTTACCCTGTGCCACATACTATTCTAAGTACCTTATGTACTAACACATTAATTTTCTCAGCTCTGAGGTAGTAGCATTGTCTCCATTGTTATAGGCAAGGAAACAGGCACAGAGACATTAAGCACCTTGCCCAAGGTCACACAGTAGTCAAGAGCCAGGATTCAAAACCAAGGCTCTAGAATCAGTATACTTTACCACTGTACCACACTTCCTCAAATTGAAGAGTGGGTTTAACTGTGACTAGAAAAGCATGAGTATGAATGAATGTCAGGGCTTTAAAATCTGACATTTTAAAAGTTGTTTGAATTGGACCACCTAATTTAAAGATTAAATTGGATCCCTATATTGATCCATCTATTTTTAGATGATGGCAGATTATTATAAATCACTATTTGGGATACTAGATCTTACACAATTTTTCTCTTTTTTGGCTTCATGAATACAGCAGCTAAATTTGGTTGACACAATAAATGACTAGACATTTTTGATTTCTTAAGCTGATCATGTGGTAATGCTTTGTTTAGAACAGAACTGTAAGTGATGGTTTTCAGCTGCCAAATTTCATGAAAACAACCTATTCTATAAAATGAAACTTTGTTATTTGACTGCAAATTTAACATACCTTCTCTCCTATATCTGTAATAAATTTTCATTTGTAACTGCACACAGACTATAGTTATATGAAAAATATCCATTTAAAGCATATATACTTTTAAACTTAGTCCTTTATATTCTGTTACATCCTATGAAGAACTAGAGTTTTGTAGCTTTTTTAACATCTCAGTAAGTTAGAATGAAAGCACTACATGGTTTCAACTTAATTGTTGAGTTGTCCTAATTCCTCTTTAAACAGCCATAGTTGTTTTACACCATCATTTCTCCTCCCTGTGTTCTCCCACCTCTTTCTGTCTAGCTATTCTAGAGTCATTTGTGTGGATGTGTGCTTTTTAAATATTTGTAGGCACCAGTATGTTGATTAATTGATTTATGGATGAGAGCTTCTTTAGTTCAGCAATAGCCGTAGAATATACCATAGTTTTTTCTTTTTAGGTGATCACAAGTGAAGAAGCTGAGAGACGGGGGCAGTTATATGACAACAAAGGAATCACATATCTCTTTGATCTGGACTATGAATCTGATGAATTCACAGTGGATGCAGCTCGATATGGAAATGTATCTCATTTTGTGAATCACAGTGTAAGAAATACTTAAAGTATAGACAGGACTGATTAACTTTAGTACTGTGTTTAATGCTTTTCCATAGTTGAGGATATAATATATTTGAACCACAGACTTTTAGTGTTTTTCAGAGTATTTTAGTACAAGGGTCTCTGCTGTTAAGTCATGACTACTGCTGTATTAGGAGAACTCAAAATGCAAATACCATGCATTTTGCAAGTCTTACTTATGTTACTTCATTTAAACTTTTCAACAACATTTTAAAATAGGTATTACCCTCATAGAGGAGGAAATTAATGAACGGAGGAGTTACGGGGTAGAAAGTAGAAAGTTTTAAGAAACACAATTATATAGGTTTCATACAGAAGTTAACACAGCTAAATTTTAAGATATATAACCAAAGATAGGTGTAGTCTCTTAAAATGAAAACATGTTAACATTTTTATAAGATTTAAAAATTTGTAGAGTATTGAAGTATTTAGGGCTATTTTTTTCTTTTCTTTTTTTTTAAAGATTTAATTTATTTTTAAACAGAAGGGAAGGGAAGGAGAAAGAGAGGGAGAGAAACATCAATGTGTGGTTGCTTCTCACACACCCCCTATTGGGAGCCTGGCCCAAAAACCTGGCATGTGCCCTGACTGGGAATTGAACTGGTGACCCTTTGATTTTTCAGGCAATCACGTAATCCACTGAGTCACACCAGCCACGGCTTAGGGCTATTTTTTTAAATTTTAACTTAGCACTTTTTTTCTTTTTCTTTTTTTAAGATTTCATTTATTTTTAGAAAGAAAGAGAAACATCAATGTGTAAGAGATGCATCAATCAGTTGCCTCTCACACAACCCCAACTGGGGACCCCGCCTGCGACCCAGGCATGTGCTCTAACTGGGAATCGAACTGGTAGCCTTTTGGTTCATAGGCTGGCACTCAATCCACCGAGCCCACCAGCCAGGGCAGTATTCTTTTTAAAAAGATTTTATTTATTTTTAGAGAGAGGGGAAGGGAGGGAGAAAGGGAGAGAAACATTGATCAGTTGCCTCTCTAACACACCCCAACTGGGGACCAAACCTTCAACCTAGGCACGTGCCCTGACCAGGAATCGAGCCAGTGACCTTTCACTTTGCAGGACCACTCCCAACCTGGCCATACCAGTCAGGGCTAAATTATAAATTAATATTCTTAATTTGTGTTGGAAAAAAACTTAGAATACAGCTGGAACCTTAACCCCAGAATCTTATACTGTAAAAACTATTTCCAAAACTAAGGGAGGTTAATAGTTATTGGGCACCTAATGCATGCCATGTAGATAACATAGTATTAGTCCTGTGAGATTGATATTATCTCCATTTTATAGATTAAAAGGAAATGTATTTCAAGGAATAAGTTATATAGCTGGCCATATAAGGTAGTAGACTGTTAAATTTTCGGTGGATTTTATACCTAGACTAATTTATGATTAGTAGTGAAATGCCAGAGACCTTCTGATTCCCTTGTTAGCTTTCTGATTTACTTAAACTTTTACTTTAATTTTGTTCTTAATAATAAATTCGAAATACTCTCAAAATAGATGTATTTTATTTGAGGACAATTAAATACTTGTTTTGGTCTCTTAGTATTATTGCGTGGATCTTTCTTCTTACATATTCCAGAATTGAGTGTAGAGTTCTCCAAATATCAAACAATTCCAAATACCAATTTAAGCAATGAAACCCCATGCAATATGAAGTTTGAGTTCTACAATTCTAACCTGACTTTTTAAATGCAGTTCTAATTCTTTAAGTATGCCTTACTGATATATTAACAGGTGAACTGATAATGTTACCTGGGATTTGCAGTAACATTCTTCAGAAAAATTTAAAAGTCAGGAATAGATGAAACAAAATTGGCAAAAATGTTAATAACTGTTGAAGCTGCATAGTGGATACATGTGGACTTAATATTTTCTCTAGTTTTATGTATGTCTGAAATTTTCTGTAAGTGAAAACAGTATTTTTAAATGTGCATGTCTCAGAGACCTCTAAATATTCAACTAAATTTCCAGTATATCTTAAAAAACAAATCCTCTGGGCAACTGAAAATTTTAAATGGCATGTAGAAGAGCTCACTCACGTCATTTTTACTTAAATGGGTTCTCACGTTTTCTTTTTAGTGTGACCCAAATCTTCAGGTGTTCAATGTTTTCATTGATAACCTTGATACCCGTCTTCCCCGGATAGCGTTATTCTCCACAAGAACCATAAATGCTGGAGAAGAGCTCACTTTTGATTATCAAATGAAAGGTATGGCTTTCAAGTACAGTTACATTGGCATTGTTTTAGTATAAAGAGTCTGTTGCAGAATGGGAGAAAGCCTTAGATCATTTGAACCAAATGATATATTAAAGATGAAAAAATGAGGCTGTAAGAATGTCTTTTTTTCACTCAAGATCTCAAAGCTAACCCATCAACTAAAACTGGAATCTAGTTCTCCCTGACCTTGAACTGAGTAATGTCATTTCTTCTACATCACTATTACTACTTGCTTTTTTCAGAACTTCCATTATGGAAGCTTATTTATTTGAAAACATCTTTTTTCAACACTACTTGTATTTTAAAAATTGTAAACCTACATTTCCGAATCTTTACTAAGAGGTGGATATTCAAAATATTTTAAATGTGATTTAAATCACACATGAACTTATTCCATTCCTACTGGAATTTGACTTTTAAAAAGAACATTTAGTTGTATTTGCTTTTTGCGATACTATAAATATTTTCTTTCCATTGTCTTTCTAAGCATGATGCCTTTTACATATTGTTACTACTTAATTTCACTTTATGCTCTTAAACAGTATAAGAAATAAATGATTGTATATTGGATTTTCCCAGTAATTTCCATCATTTCAGAAATCCATTCTTATAAACATGGGCTAATCACATTCACTTTACCTCTTATTAGCCCACACCATTCTTTCAAGGAAGTTCATAATGATTTGTCTCTGAATATTCACATTTACAATATTTAAAGCTGATAGAAAATTTGAAATTCATTCTGAATTGCCTTAACCCTCTTTCTGTTGTATTTCTTCTTCTACATATTCAGGTTCTGGGGATATATCTTCAGATTCTATTGACTACAGCCCAGCCAAAAAGAGAGTGAGAACTGTGTGCAAATGTGGAGCTGTGACTTGCAGAGGTTACCTCAACTGAATTTTCAGGAAATAGAGCTGAGGATAATTGTAGTTTTGTTTTCCAGTGTTAACATTTTTAAAATAAATATTTGGGACCCTTTTCATACTATGAAGATTATACTCTATGTTAATTTACAATGCCTGTTTTAAACCATTGGCCAAAATGCATTACTGATGCTTCTGAAGAGAGGAACACAGGGTCACATAGACCAAGTTTGAAATGTATGTAATTAGTGGTTAGATATCAAACAAGCAAGGAAAACTAGTACAGGTTAGCATATACATACTTAAGAAGTCTGTGTGAATAGAGAAATGCCTCCTTCAGTCTTTTAAGTGTTAATCTGATATGTCACACAATAAGATCAAACGTTCAACTTGCCATACACCTTGAATTTAGAAAAACAGTTAATTTAGTTTAGGCAAAAAGTTCTATTTTTGTTATTATGTTGCTATTCCTGTTTACCTATTTATTACTGTAAATACTGTCCTTGTACTGGAGACATATAGGTGATACTGAATTACACCCTATTTTCTACTTCTTTCATTAAAACATTGAGAGCTTGATACAGAAATTTAAGGTCTAAAATTAAACATGAAAAAATTAATTGCAGCTCAATTTTGTATTTTGAAGCAAGTCAGACCATTATTGAAGGGTATATGTTTGAACCAGCAATTCTTAATGGTTTTTAACCCTGTAGAAGAAAAATCTTCAAAAGGTCTCCAAGAGGCTTAACGGCCTCTTGGAAATGACACAGCAGTAGAACCAAAAAGGTGCTTTGGAGTACCAGGCACAGGAAGGGGGCTGCTCCAAAGGCCCCTTTCAGAAGCGCTACGTGGATACCCACGTTTAGTGCCTCTGGTCTAAACAGTAAAGCAGGATGCCCCTGAGAGTCGCTGTGTTCCACATATCAACACTACAGGTTCTGGAGTCAAGCTATTTTAACATTTCCTTTCCACCAAATTTAACTATTTTTATATTTCCTGCAAGCTCTTTAAAATAATTTTCCTGCAAGCTCTTTAAAATAATCTATATTTTGAGCTAGTACTTATTTTATATATGAATTTTTTAAATGTGATAAAGCTAAACTTGGCTTGGCCAAAGTGTGTGCCTAAATTATAAGACCATTTATTACTTGAATTGGGATATATTCATTGTTGGCTTTGTTTGTTTTCCTGCATAGTAAAACCACAATCAGAAAAAACTCTTTTCACCTCTTTCTGATTCTGGGTTTTCTAATCATGGTGGCCAACATAAAGGTAAATGCAGCAAATAAATCCAGCTTTCAGTATTCCTAAGCTCATTGCCCTAGACTTTAATGACCTAAAATAAGCTTGAGTAAAACTGAACTGACTTCACAAATGCATCATTTCAAATATCTTCTTAACCCTTAACCTCTTTTTTTGGGAGAAACTACACTTCACTTCAGTATTATATTGGTATTACTTGACTTTGCTCTTTCATAATATAGGGTAAATTGTTTACATGTTTAGAGCCTCAGAATATATCTACTAACCAAAACCAGCAGAAGTATCAAGAAAAAATACATTTTTTGGTGCCATTTCATGTTTCTTTATGAAACAATAGTCACATGGTGTCAGGGCAAGACAGCATCATTGATTTTACAGGTTGCTCCCAGTGGCCAAGCACATTTTGAATTATAATTGGTAAGTTTAAAGATACAATTTTCACATTCTTTTTTTAAAAGTCAGTGTTTTACTGTCTAGTAACTTAATCTTGTCTATTTCTTGTTCTATAATGTAAAACTGAAGGGCAAAGGGAAAATGGCTATTTTCAGTCAACTCGTTTTGTCCTCATTATAAATCTCATGGGCCTTTGAGACTTTAATTATCTGTGTTAACCTTCTGTTATTAAAAAGCTGAACTTAGGCAGTAAAATAATAGAAACTTTTAAAAAATGAAGCTGTTAGGAGCGTTAACCATTTAAAAATCAACATTTAGCTTCTTTACATTAGTTTCCTAAATTGTCAAGAGTTTTCTTTCGGTATAAAGCACATATTCAAGGGCAGTATTTAGGTCAAATTTAAACTGCCAATCCACTCTACAAGTTATAATAATACTATTTTCAGTATCTACATATGAGGATTTTGATACACAATTGGTAATCTCAGGGTTTTTTTTTTTCATACATGCAAAATCTCGACAGCACTTATTATAGTACAACAGTTTCTATTTAGCAAATAAATTTAGTTTGGCACTTGATTTTCTATTTATCATGTGTTAGCTTTGTTTCTAATTATCTTACTGTCTTTCCCAGGAAGGCTACAAAAAGGGGGGGAGGGGGAAATACTGATGTATTCCTGACTGCCTGCTATTGAGATTAACCAAAGGTTTATATACCATTCCTTTCAAACTTTTTTTGAAAAAGTTTATTGTCACAGTTCATACATTTGGATATTAAAGTATAATTTTACACTTAGCATAATGTGGATGGATATTTCTAAAATTTTTGAGCATTATTTGTCACCATGTATTTAAGCCAATTTTGCTAAGTACTGCCTGGAACTGCAAAGGAATTTTAGAATTAGAGCTAATATTCCTGAGCAAATCTTAGGCCTTTATATATAATCATGTGCTTCTTGTAAATCTATGAAGTAGGTACCGTCATCCCTATAGTAAACCTGAGGAAGCAGGTTGCAACTGGTTAGGTAACAAGATCATGCAGCTAAGAGGCAATAAACTATGCCTGTGCTTAATGAATTTAACCAACTTTGGGCAGTTTTTAAAAACCAATTTCTACTGTTAGTTTAAACAAACTTCTAAGCCTTGGATTCTTCTCTAAGGCAAATGTGGGTAGCTACTGAGTTTCTTCTCTCATATATCATGGCAGTTTGAAACTTTTTTCCTTCCATTTTATACTTTATAGTTCAAGTAAAAATCAAGTAGCCACTGTAATTAATCCTGCCCACTCTTAAGCTCTTCTTGATAGGCCTTATTGCATGGTGATGAAGAGCATGCATGGACTCTGGGGCCTGAGTCGTCTGTATTGGATTCCTGGCTTCACCCTCTACTAGCTGTGAACCAACCTCTCTGTGCCTTAGCCTCCTTATCTGTGAATGGGGATAACAAATATATCTACCTCAAAGGGTGCTGTGAGGATTAAAGGAGTTAATATACAGTATGTAAAAGAATTAAGCATTATCGCAGAGTAAGCACCATATTAAGCATTAGCTATAATTATTCTGTACTTCAAGTATAGGTTTATAAAGTACCTGTACTTTAACCAGTACAGGTTTATACAATTGACCCTTGAACAATACAAGTTTGAACTTGGGGGTCCATGGATAAGTTCAAACTCATGTTCAAGGGTCAACTGTATGACACTGTACTTACTTAAACATCTTTTGTGACCTAAGTCCATTCTAGTGTTCTTAGCCCTTAAAGTCATTCAGCCAGCATTTATTATGCTAGATTCTTATATAATGATGAAAATGTGGCAGTATGTAGTATTAAATTAATAGTGTGATCATAAAATGCTAAGAATATATTCAGAAGAATGTTTATAGGCATGTTTTGAACACCACCCCCTCCCTTAGATCATAAGCTATACTATTAAGATGAAATCTTAAGTGTCAGTATATACAAATATATATTTGATTACATGATTTATGATAATGAACTATAACTAATTTTTAGAGCTATAAATAAAATATGAAGCCTCTGGGTTTCTGTAATGGGCCTGTTGTAGTTGTTACCAGATACTCAACAAATGAATGATTTACAATCCTCACTGGTTCTCTCTAGAGTCTTTATATTCACTTGGAATTCATGAAGTAGTACTCAAAGGGGAGATGGGCAAAATGGAATGACTACAACTCTAATCCTGCCCCGTACACTAAGTCTGTAGACTGTATTTCATCCAAAGCTCAGAGCAGCAGCTGCTCTAGGAAAAAAGGGGCCAGCATTCCCATAAAACTCCTTGTGTCCTTCCTTATACTCCTTTGCTCCAGGTACTGTGCTCAGACCATTCCCATTGGTGTAGATGTTGATAAAACTTACTGTTTAGTAATTTAGGGTTGATACTTCCCTAAAATTGTGACCCAACATGTCCTTAAAGACCAGTCAGAAATGACCAGGTCCTTCGTCTCAACCCTATCCCATAATAACGATGACAGTTTCTTCCTCTCATCCCTCCTCTTGTGTCAGTTTCTTGGTTGAATGTGAAGTCAAGGTGCCACTGTCTAGTTTTTCCTCATGTAAATGGACAGGGGCAAATCTGCCTCCAACATTTGGGAATGGAATATTCCCTTCTGGAAAAGTGAGGACTGGCTTCCTGGTCCTCTTGGCTTTGCTTCCTCTGAGTGCCCCTTTTATCTTCCTCTCCCACTAACTGTAAGTCTTGTTCCCTAATTAGTCTTGTGGATCCATTACTTACTGTTGGTCTAATTACCTTGCAGCACAGTGATAACGTATATCGTGTTAGTTGAATTGATGGACATTGTTTCTAGAGACTACTTGGACTAGTTTTAAGAGAAATCTTTGCTTTTGCTACATTAATTTACAAAACATCAGGATACTAAAGTGCTTGTTAATGTGTTAATAAAACTTTATTAAATCCACATACATACTGTGCAAAAGCATATCCTATTGGTGGACTTCAGGAAAGTTGAATGACTCACAGAACACGTGTATACTTTGGCCATTTAATTATTTTCCTTTATGTCCTAATTTTTGTAGTTTTAATTTTGCCATTGTATTCACACCAACATTCGTAAGTTGTGTAACATCTCTTGAGTTAAGTAGGGGGCTGGTTTTTCCCAAAGCCATTAGTTTACAGTAATAGGTCCAAGTTTTTATTCTTTCAGTTTGAACTATTTTATGACCTAGTATATGATCTATCTTGGTGAATGCCCTATGTCCTCTTGAAAAGCATGTATTTTGTTGTTGGATAGAGAATCAATGAGATCCCTTTGGTAGATGGTCTTGCTGACTTCCTGTAAACTAATTGTTACTGTGAGAGGAATGTTAAAGTCACAACTATAATCGTACATTAGTTTCTCCTCTTAGTTGTTTGCACTTTGTACAGGCATATTTCATTTTATTGCGCTTCACAGATAGCGTGTTCTCATCAACATCAAGGCAAGACCCTCCACCAGCAAAGGGCTACAACTTGCTGAAGGCTGAGGTGATGGTTAGCATTTTTTAGCAAAGTATTTTTAAATCAAAGCATGCTGGGGTTTTTAGACATAATGCTATGCACACTTAATAGACTGTAGTATATTGTAAACATTTATGTGCACTGGGAAACCAAAAATTTCATGTGACCTGCTTTATTGTGGTTTTGCTTTGTGCCAGTGATCTAGAACCCAGTCTGCAATCTCTCTGAGGTGTGTCTCTGTATTTTGAAGCTGCTGTTAAGTACATACACATTTAAAATCATACCTTCTTAGTGAACTGCACCTTTTATTGCCATACCAGCTGTCATGGTATATTTCCCATCCTTTTACTTTTAACCAACCTATATCACGTGAAGTGAGTTGGTTACTGACAGCATGTAGTTGGGTTATGTTTTATTTTTCCAGACTATCTTTTCATTGGTGTGTTTAGACTATTTTCACTTAATGTAATTATTGATCTATTTGGATTTAGTCCTACCGTATCGTATTCATTTTTTGTTTTTTCCCCTCCTTTCTTTTAGGTTATATAAGCATTTTAATTTATCTATTAAGATTTCGACTGTTACCTCTTTGTATAGGTTTCTTTAGTCACAGCTCTGGAATGAATTCTTAAGTATCTATAAGTGAGCTTTTTCTCTTGTCAAGCACTATACTCTCACCTGCTGCCAGCTTCTCATACAAATACTGTAAATGCTCTCGTTTAGGTAGCTCAGCTTCTGGAGTTGAGGGAATTTCAAAATCAGAGGAGCTCTGTGAGTCTGCATTGGTGCTGAGAGCTGGCAGCCTTCTTTCCTGAGGTATGTGTTTCCCACCGCTTACAGTAGTTGGTTCTCCAACACTAGGAACTGTGGTTACATCTTCAGAGGAAGAGTCCTTTAGGCAAAGTACACTTTGTTCCATCTGAGAGGCAGGAAGATTCTCTTTGATTCTTGGTTTATAGCCACCTTTGTTCAAGGAAGTCATGTCCCCACTGTTTCTCTCTTGGAAAGATAACAAAACAGTGTCAGGTTGGCTGTCCCAGCCTTGACTTCCTTGTTCTGAGATGTGTGTGGACTGGGAGGAGTTCTGAGAGGAGATGTGAGTTGACTCCCCATCAGAGTCACTGAAAAGCTTTGGCGACTGAGAGCCCCCTCCCTCTGTGGAGGAAAGGAAGTTTTCCAAACCATCATCTGTGATCTCATCATTTCTTTTAAAGAAGACTTCCCACTGTGGTACTTCTGCATCTACCTTTTGTTGGTGATGTGTAACAGGACACGGATCTCCTTGAGATGATGCTGGGATTTGTGATTCTTCCTCACTTTCACTGTTGGATTCTTCACAGTCTATAAAGTTTGCCCAAAGAGAGGTTTGCATGCTCTCTGCCCTGTTGCATCCTGTGCTTTGTCCTAGTTTTTCAGGCTGGCTTTGTGATACTGCAGTCATTTGAAATACCTTAGGGTGAAGAGTTCGCTGGTTTGGAACTTTGTGCCTTAAAGGTACTGGCAGAGGATCATCAAAGAGGTCATGTTCATCTTCCTCCTCCTCCTCTGGGAGACAAACCAGGTTCATAAGAAACGCACAATGTAAAGGGAGCCAACTTATGTTTTTAATTAAAAATCCAATTTCTAGCATTTAGCTGTTGTTACTTCACAGAATTACAAGTAATAGGGAGTTTACTCTTCCAAGAGAAATTAAAAGGCCTCTATTCTTGGGATATTCTGAACAATTTAAGTACCACCTTTCAATTTATAATGTCAGACAGTGAGTTGAGAATATAGACCTGTGTTCACCAAATTAAGTCCACAATACCTATGTTAGTGGTTCTCAAACCTGGTTGATCATTAGCATCATCTGGAGAGCTTTTTAAAAAAACACAGCTTTAGCCCTGGCTAGAGTGGCTCAGTGGATTGAGCACCAGACTGCAACAAACCAAAGGGTCGCTGGTTTGATTCCTAGTCAGAGCACATGCCTGGGTTGTGGGCCAGGTCCCCAGTAAGGGGCACCCTAGAGGCAACCACACATTGATGTTTCTCTTCCTCTCTTTCTCTCTCTCCTTAAAAATAAATAAATAATCTTTAAAGAAAACACCACTTTGTATAGCTCATTCAAGACTTACTGAATCCCTTAAGGTAGGACCTAGTAATCTGATTTTTGAGGTATTTTAAGTTCTGCAGCTGATTCTGTTCATCAGCCAGGTTTGTGAACCACTCAGACTAGGAGAGAGGTTTGCAAATACTATTTGTTCAAATTGGCTGATTTAATATGACAACAGTTAACTATTTTCTAAAGTTTTCCTTGTAAAAACATTTTACTGATACCTACTTCATTCTTGTTATGAGCTGAATGTTTGTGTCCTCCCAAAATTTATAATTTGAAGCTCTAGCCCCAATGTAATGATAATTGGAGATGAGACCTTCAGAAGACAATAGATTTAGATGAGCACCTGAGGGTGGGGCCCATGTGACAGGATTAGTGCCCTTGTAAGAAGGGGAAGGCAGATTTCTCAGTGCCCATGCCCAGAGGAAAGGCCTGAGAGCACACAGTGAGAGGGCAGCTGTCCACAAGGCAGACAAACGGCCTTTACCAAGAACCATATCCACTGGCGCCTTGATCCCAGACATCCCGGCCTCCACAACTGTGAGCAGTAAATGTCTGTTGTTCGTTTAAGTCATTTGATCTGTGGCATTTGTTACAGCAGCCAGAGCTGGATAGCTCACAAAGCTGTGACAAATACTTAGGGGAACACACAGATTAATCACCTTTAACCAAAATACTAAATAAAACACATCAACGTCAAGAACTAAAAGTCAAGAAAATTTAGTCTGCTGATTTTGTACACACTGTGTTAGTATATATATAGTAAGCCCAGTCCACATAAATTCTTAAAACAAAAACTTACTTAGAGAATGAAATTCTTACAATTTAATATATGAAATTTACATAAAATAATAAGGCGCAGACTTGGAGAAACACATATTTTACTGCCCCATAACAGCACCTACACTAAAGAAATTAAATGCTCATGAGACTACTTTTTGTTCTAGTGCTGAATCTGATATTATCTTATAATTACCTAGTTCTTTAAATGATAACTATTTTCCCAGTCATAAAGGATGTAGCTAAATACATTTTCTTTAATCCTCACCTGAGACATTTTTTTTTCCATTGCTTTCAAAAACAGAGAGAAACAATGTAAAAGAGAAACATCATTTGGTTGCCTTCCTGTACACTCTCCAGCTGGGGATTGTTGAACCTGCAACCTGGGCATGTGCCCTGACTGGGAGAATCGAACCCACAAACCCTCATTGTACGGGATGATGCTCCAACCATCTGAGCCATGCCCGGCCAGAGCAAGGCTACATTTTTTTAAAGCCACTAAAAAGATGGACCACAGAGACCATCATCCAGCTCCCATTTTATCAATGAGGAGGCAGGCCCAGAGAAGGTATATGATAATGCATAGGTCAAAAGATAGAGCCAGGAATCAAACCCAGTTCTTCAAGTTCCATGTTCTGTTACGATTAATAATTGTTTAAACAAGCAGCTATTTATCTTAGCCTTCTTTTCTAAAGGACTTAAGGTGACTGAGATGTCTAGCTATGTTATTTCGAATCATCATAGTTTACAAGATACGGATTTGTTTTAGTTCTCCCACTATTGTGTCAAAATTATCTTTTTATGAAATGTTTGTGTATCCTAAGTTGGACACTTTTATGTACTTCTGGATCTGTGGCTCTACCAGCATCATGGTATGTTCAGCTGTACAATTCTAATGCTTTAATCTGTCCAAACATGTTCACTTAACTCACCTGTGTGTATTGAAACAAAAAGTAGTTGATGACACTGAGAAAATATCACAAATATGAAAGTGTTGAAATTCTTAATAGTGTTTACAAACTGGTATAGCTAAACCCAATTTAAAAAGGGACAAATGTCAAAAAACTCACAGGTATCATCCAATATAAATTGGTATAATCATACTGGAAGACAATTTAACAATATGTATCAAGCACTTGAATTTCTAAAATGTAACCCAGTATAATGAGAAAACTGAAATAGACAATATACAGTATTGTTCATCACAGTTTTATTTGTAAAATTGAAAAGTTCAAAATAACCTAAATGTGTAATGACAAAGAATACATAAATATACCATTATCTAGTCTTAATGCAAAATATACAGCCATTAAGTTTGGCATTTTTGAGTAACAAAATTGTTTCAATAAAAAGTTTTTGTGTGTATATATGTGGATGTGTGGATACATTCATGTATATACAGTGCTCCAAGCTGCTTTTCAGCCTGTATACAAGTATATAGTCATATAATAGTTAGACTACTTACATACTGTCACACTATTTAGTAAACATGCCTTTCCTTAATCCCCAAGTGTCCTTCCTGTGCCCACTGCTGCCCTGGCACCTACTTCCTGCCCACCTCTCCACACTCCAACAGCTGAGAGGCTTACACAGCTGGAGAACTTTTGGGGCACTGCTCCTGCACTACAGTTAATACTGTTCTCATTGGTACCTACACAATGTTGCTTTTTAATCATTTTCAATCTACCCCTTTGATTTCAGTGGATATTTATATAAATGATAGGGAAAAAATAAAATACATTAAAATGCTAATTTGGAGTTACAGGGTTCTATATAACTATTTTCTAAATTGTCTACAGTGAGTATATACTACTTTTATAAGAACAAACAATTTTTTAAAATTGGTCTGTGGGGATAATTATAATAATGGTTCACTTTTACATAAAGATAAATCAGAGAACAAAGAGCTCTACTAAAATGCTTTTTAAAGAGGCTAAGAGAAGAATGACTTGTGAACTTGCACCTCAGATTCTAAAACAATAACAAATCTTAAAACCACTGATGATGCCACGCATATTAACAATGACTTGCATCAAGAAGAAAGCCTGACAGATTGGTAACTGCCCTGGTGGAGATCACCACAGCAACCTTAAAGCACACAGGACAGAATAGGAATGGTAGTCAGTGGCGTATGAACGTGATGATACCTATAGCTTACAAAATTGATCTGAAAACATCTACTACAGACTGACACCAAAGGACTGTGGAAAGATCTAGACCTGTTCAAATAATTTAAAAGCTATAAAAGTTGCTATTTCATAAGGAATAAGAAGCTAAGGAATCTAGAAGGAACAAAATCAAAGCTAACAAAACAGAAAAAGCAAGAACAATTAAAACGGGAGTGAAAAAAACAAAACAACCTTACACTAGTGAGTGGCCCAATCCAAAAAACATTGTCAAAAGAAAATTAAAAATCAAGCATCATTTGGTAGGTACATAAGAGATACAAATGGTTACATTCACTGAAAAATTGAATGATTTCTACTTCCAGCCAAGAAAGTAGCAGGAGTTCGATCTGAACCAACTAAAAGCAAGCCAAAATGTAAGAAAGGCTCAAAAGAAATTGGACATTAGGCAAGAAAGGACAGTGACACCTGAGAACTGACCCAGAGATTACCCCAGCTTACTGGTTTCCAGGCAAAAGGGGACTCCAAGTTAGAGCTCACCAGCACTCCTGAGTTGAGATATAACTGGAAATCTGAGGAAGCCAAGGTGACTGGAGTTCCCAGAGGAGAAAGCAGTCAGAATTGCTACCAAGAGCTGCAGTAGGGCCCCCTGAGTATCCAGCATACTGACCATAGTGCATGCTTGTGATGTGGCGCATCCCTCACCGCTGGAGAAAGGATCACTCAAAAGCATGAGAGGAAAGAATGCCCAGAATGCACACAGTGCTGGGAATTGTGCCTGTTCTCAATAGCCAGAGTGGAACAACAGCTAAGTTATGAGATGTTTTACTGTAAGAATAACCAAGGGCCTCACCTCAGTAGCGGGGAAAGAAGTGCTGCTCTGTAAAAAGCAGTACACAAAATAATCAAACTTTCCAAGTCATTTAACCACATGCCATTACAGAGTTGAAGAATATATTTAGAAATTCAAAATTACACAGAACTTAGTATAAGTTCAGGATGTATGGAATCCAACAACAAAAAAAATTACCCAACATGCAGAAAGGTGGGAAAATAAAGTCAAAACTAACCCCCAAAATGATAAAACATGGGGATAAAGCTTCATGATCTTGGATTAAGCAATAGTTTCTTAGATATCACACTAAAAGCACAAGCAATAAAAGAAAAATTGGATAAACTGGACTTAAATTTATGTTTTCGCCCTTCAAAAGACATCAAGGAAGTAAAAAGCTGTAAACTAGGAGAAAACATTTGCAAATCATCTGATAAAGGACTTATATGCAGATTATATAAATTTACACTCAGTGAAATTGTTAATCCAATTTAAAAGCAGGCAAAAGAGTTAAATAGACATTTCACCAAAGAAGATCAATAAATGCCCCATAAGCACCGGAGAACAGCTCAACATTAAAAGACATGCAGATTGAAACTATAATGAGATGCCACTTTACACCCACTAGACTGGCTATAATTAAAAAAGATAATAATATCTGAGCTAGGGTGTGAAAAAACTAATCCTGTATTGCTGGTGAGAATGGAAATGATGTGTTGAATTTGGAAAACTCAGTTTCCTAAAATGTTAAGACAGATTTATTACATGTTATGGGCTAAATGTATCCTCCTGTCCCCCCTGCCAAAAAAAAAAAAAAAAAATTATGTTGAAGCCCTAAATTTGGAAATGGGGCCTCTAAGGAAGTAAAGTTAGGGGTGGACCCTGATCCGACAGATTACTGTCTTTATAAGGAGACATCACAGAACACTCCCGCTATCCCCTGCCCTCAGTCGAGACCATGTGTGCGCACAGCAACATGGCAGCCACCGACAAGCCAAGAGAAGAGGACTTGGAATGAAACCTTCCCCAGCCCCTTGATCTTGGAATTCCCAGCCTCCAGAACAATGAGAAAGAAGTTAGTTTAAGCTACCCAGTCTGTGGTATTTTGCTATTGCAGCTCAGATACCACATAACCCAGAAATTCTATGTTACACCTAAAATAAAGTATGTGTCCAAATAAAAACTTATTGTGTATATAAATATTCATAGCATTACTTGTAACTAAACAGTAGCAAAAACCCAAAATGCCCATCAACTAGTGAATGGTTAAATGTGGTATACTCGTGCAAAGAAATAATTATTTGGCAATAAAAAGAAATGAAGAACCAATACATGCTCAAGATGGATGAACTTTGAAAATATTGTCTAAGTGAAAGAAGCCAGGTACAGGAGACCAAATACATGGTTCCACTGATGTGAAATGTCCAGAAGAGGTAAATCTATAGAGACAGACCACAGAGTAAGTGGTTGCGTAAGGCTAGAGGTGGTTAAGGGGAGTGACTTGAAATGGCAGTTTCTTTTCAGAGTAATGGAAATACCTGAAATTACCATATTTTGCCATGTATAATGCACACATTTTTTGCCCCAATTTTTGAGGGAAAAATAAGGGTATGCATTATACATGGGTTATAATGATTGCATGCTGCTGTGAGTATAATAAATCTGTGTATAATGTGCACAAAAACGGGTATGCATCATATACAGTAAAAAAATATTGGTAGATACTGGTGATGGTTGCACAACTCTGTTAAAATAACAATAATGGAATTGTTCGCCTAAAGGTAAAATTTTGGTATATAAATTATATTTCAACAAAGCTTTTAAAAATGCACAATTTAAAGAAAAAAAGGTAATGTATTTGTGGAACTTATAACAAGTAAAATGTATGACGGTAATAGTACAGGCTGCGGGGGAAGGAATGGAACTAGACTGTTGGAAGCTTCTTATACTTGAAGTAGAATAATAATTCACTTTTCACTTTCATAGGTCAAAAATGTATACTGTTGGGTTGGCCAAAAAGTCCATTACATTTTTTTCTGTAAGATGGCTCCAGTAGAGCTTAGTTGTCTTTAACTTCATTCAAAACAATTTTGTTAGATTGTATTGTGACAGCTGTTATTTCAGTGTGCATTTTTTTAAAACATCAAAATTGGTAAGTTTTGTGCAGCCATTTTAATATCGAAGATAGAAGAAGGTATGCAACATTTTTGGTGTATCATGCTTTATTATTTCAAGAAAGGTAAAATGCAACTGAAACACAAAAACAGATTTGTGCAGTGTATGGAGAAGGTTTTGTGACTGATAGAGTGTGTCAAAAGTGATTTGTGAAGTTTCTTGGTACTATTGGCATTTTGGAACAATAATTCTTTGCTGTGGGGCTGTCTTATACATTGGAAGATATTGAGCAGCACCCCTGGCCTCTACCCACTAGCAGCCAGTAGTGGGAGACAGCCGACATACTCCAAATATCCAGATCAATAAAGTTATTGGTGAATATGAAAAATGTGTCTTTTATTTTATGGAAAAAACTAAACAGACCTTTTGGCCAACCCAGTATAAAACACTAAAATAAAACAAAGAATTACAGCTAATAAGCCAATAAGAGATTAAAAGGAATCTATCAGTTTTCAATCCAAAAGAAAGCAGAAGAAACAAGGAACAGATGTGACAAATAGCAAGGCAGTAAATGTGAACCTAACCATGTCAGTCACATCACACCTAAAATGGCCTAAATACTCCAATTAAAAGGCCGAAATTATCAGATTGGCTATAAAAAGCAAGACCCAAAGATACGCTGCCAACAATAAACCCACCTTAAAGACAGTTAAAAATACAGGGACGCTAAAAGATACTTCGCTAACCCCTGTCAGAAGAAAGTGGAGTGGCATGGCTGTGTTAATATCTAATAAAGACCTCAGAGCTAAGACTATTGCCAGGATACACATATTTCCTAAAATTAAAGGAGTCAGTTCCTCAAGAGGAAGTAACGGTCTTAAACATGAGTATACCTAGTAACAGTGCTTCGAATAAATGAGGTAAAAAGTGATAGAGCGGCAAACAGAAGTACACATTCACAACAATAAATGGAGATTTCAGCAACTTTGACGAACTGAAAGAACAAGTAAAACGAGTAGAGCAGTGATGATATAGAAGACAAACATCATCAACTAACTTGACCTAATTGGTATATACAGAACACCCAACAGCTTTGGTTTCTTCATTGGTAAAATTGGATGAGACCCCTTACAGGTTTGTTTTGAGGTGTAGCTATAATATATGGAAAGGACCTAACACAGTACCTGCCATGCAGTAGGTGTTCAATAAATAGTATCATTTTTATCTGCCATGTTTTTGTCTTGCATTAGCCAGTATTACAGTGACTGGCTCTCCACCAGAACAATGAAAACTCAGAATCCTAACCATGAAATCATGTGAAGCAGCACAGTTTTGCTGAGAATCTGAAGTTCTGATTTCCACCTCAGAGCTTTCCCTTAATTTGTAATGGGAAATGAAAGCGATGAAAGAAAGTATAGAGAAAGTCCATTTGTATAAGTACAACTGATCAATCTGATCAGAAATGATGGCAAGAAGAGTTCCCATTGTCAGCATTTTCTAGTATCTTGAAGAAGTATTTAAGGGAAACAACACAGTCTCTCCTTACAGCCTAACAAACCAAGGGGCATATTTCCAGAAAGCTGAGAACATTCAATATAGGCACAGTTCTCTTTTTCACTTGTTCTAAACCTGGGGAGGAGATGGAACTCGTGGCTTTATAAGCTGAAGACAGGAAGGCTATGCACTTTCTGAGACCCTGTGACAAGTCTGAGTGATACCAAGTCCCGGGTCCACCTCTGCCCAGTGCACCTTTCATGAGACCAGAGCATCCTGAAAGGCAGTTTTGCAGGAAATCCCACACCTCTGGCCCTGGGTAATCCTTACCAGAGTCTAGGTGAATTGTTCTAGCTCTCTTCAGTTTTCCAAGTGGTTTATACTTTGGCTCAGTGCTTTGGGAAGAACGGCATAAAGGCTTTAAGCTGAAATGAGTATGAATATTTTATTGCTAGGAAAGCTGCTGGAATGTAAGCATCATTTATAGATTATAAAAACTTTACCACAGGGGAAATCATAACTGCTTTTAAAAGCTGAAGAGTATTATTCAATAATTTAAAATCACTTCAATATAATAAAGTGCTGATACAACCTGGAGGGTATCTAATTGTAGGATCACGAGGGAAAGTAAAACTCGTACCTGCTCTTGAACTGCAAAATAGCAAGTCCCTATTCTTAAAAACTTAATACAGTGACACCTTCTGGCCTACAGGGAATACAATATAGCTAGTTGTTTTCCCTTCCCTGTTTAATGATGTTTACTTATCTCTTGCAAGAATCTCACAAATTTGATCACTTCCTTCTAGAGGCTGGAAACTAAGACCCAGTACGATAAACTATAAAAGGGCACAGAAATAAGATTTGAGGGTGCCCTGCCCTTTTTCGAGGCCCTTATTGCTAACTGCTTTCTTATGCCAGATTCCCAGAAGCCATTAAGATTACATAATAACATGCCTACTTGAAGAAAGCCATTATGCTCTCAACCTGACACACATCCACAGCCCCATCCACTTAAAGTTCTTGCCCCTGTTCTCAGGCCCAATACCATTCCCAGATCCATCCCACTCAATAACACAAGTACCAACAACTTACATTTCTATAACTTTATCCATAGTTGTGCCCAATGGAATGACATTTGGATATGCATTCACAGGACAGATGTAGCTCAAGAAATCTTTAATCTAGAAGAAAGGAAATAAAAGGGATCAATCATCTCAGTGAAAAATCTGGGTACAAGAAGCAAGTAATGAAGGCCAGGGAAAAGTGGCAGGAAAATCATGGCTGTGTTCTCAATGTTTGCTGCATGTGGGGTTCACCTGGGGACACTCAGCCTCACCCCAGAGATCCTTTTAATGCTAAGCTGCAGTAGGGGCTGGAACTCTTGTATTCTCCAGGTGGTCTGTTCCACAATAAGGACTGAGAATCACTGGTTAACGGGATTCAAAAATTCTGTACTTCTTCATAAGACCTTAGTGTCCTCATCAAAAAAGGACAGTCATATTTAACACACCCCCTTCATGTATGTTAGATTTAGTTGAGTACTTAATACACACAAGAAAACAAGGTCTTAGAAGTACACTTCTTTCCACCTACATAATTGTTGGCAATACCTTTGCCTTATGTTGCACCTTTGAGGTTGCTTGATTTTTTGTAATAGTTTATTCTAACCCCAACAAGGACAGTTGCCTGAAAAACTTCATGAATACCTTGATTTTGCTGCAAAGCTCAGAAAGCTAAAGAGAGGAACTCTGTCACTAGTCCACAAAACACCTCTACAGACCAGTCAGTCTTTAACTTACTCATCTTGGTGAGCTTGTGCTCTCAGGCAAGTTACCTAGAGCCTTTAAGTCTTTGACTCTTCATCTAAAAGTGTAAATGAACAAATGCGTGTAAACTGCTTAGCCCAGGACTGGGTCTGGTCAACTATTTAGTAAAATTATCTATTGCAAAGCTGATGATGACAGCACAAAGATTTTTATTCCCTTCTTCAAATGAGGATATTGAAGCATAAAGTAGTTATTAGTACCTGACTTTCTCAAGTAAAGGGCCATATCAAAGGAGGTTAACCCAGGAATTACCAATAACTTCACTTTACAATAAAATGGCTACCTTAAAATGGGAAAAGACAGGAAGATCCATTCTTCACATATTTTTCATAAACAATTTCCTTTATATTTACAGAGCAGACATGCAAATAGAAACCATTATTTATGTGCCTACAACCTGTATGATTTTGCATAATCAGTCCAAAGTTGAGGCTGGTAGAAATTGGAAGCTTTTTGAAGGAAACAAGGATTTAAAAAGTAAGGCTAAGCCTGTACCATAACTGAGTCACTTACTCTACTCAGCGATGAAGTGGCCACAGGAGACAGGAAACACCCAGTAGAAGGGCACCCTCTCTCTCACTTGTACAGCTTGATGGCCTTTTGCCAGATGCCTGCCTTACAACAGTTCATTAACAGTCAGTTTTCGCTACTCACAATAGTCACGTTCTGCATAAAGTCACTGTGAACACTGAACCAGCACACACGGAACCACTTCTGGGGTTAATGCAGGGGTAGGTTCCTGTAAATCTCTGCTCAGTGTTTTTGTTAACCGATCAATAGCATCACCTTGTTTTAGTGTGATTTTGCTGTAAAAATACAGCAAATTTAATGTATATATTGCTTATTTAATGTATATATTGTTTATACAGCTTATTTAATGTATATATTGTTGGCTCATTAACATTGAACTAATGGCCAACAGCAGCACTGTAACTCATGCCGGCACGAAGCTTATCAAACATTTTCTCCATAAGGCACACGCCAGCAGTCCTGCATTAGGAACACCAGACAGCACTTCAGCACTATGCTCAGGGGCTGCTTCAAACAGTGAAATCAAAAGAGGCAGACTAAATAGACTGCAAAAAGGACAGTTGTTCACACTCTTGAGAGCTGAAGCAAGAAGGCACAATGCCAGCTTGTCAACCTGAGGTGGGAACGTGCACATTGGGTGGCCCACGTTTTCCCCACTCCGCTGTGCATGTCTGCAGTGACCACAAAGCACTGCTTATATTGATTTGCGACTTACAAAGAAATTTTCCTGAGGAGGCAGTTTGTAAGTAAGGAATCCGTAAATACAGAAGATCAACTGTATTTAGAAAAAACTGAAAGGAAATATTTATATCTATTTATATTTTTAAATACAGTTCATGTTCTACATATAGGATACAGGCAAATTAATTAACCAACGTTCAGAAAAGCCCGTCTCTCAGCAATACCGGGAAAGAAGATGACTACGCAGAGCTCAGAGTGATCCTACCCTGTGCGTGCTCACTGGCTCTGATGTACGGAGGATGGGAGAGAAGTAGGTCTGCTTCATCTCTACTTGAGTCTCAGGGAAATATATCCTTAACGGGAGGTGATTTCATAAAGTCCCGTGAAGGCTTATGCTTCCCAACTTGGCTACTAACTATACTGAGGAAGAGAAATAAGACAGGAGTAGATTTGATTGAAAAAGGAAGGCCTACCCTTTCCCCAGATTAGATGCCTTCCCTGTGGCTGAGACAGAGAGAATATTCTGTCAATCAAGAGGAAGGGCCCCTGATGCGGAGCCAGATGCCACACCAAGGACAACACCAGGAAGGGGCTTTGACAACAATCTAAGATTCAGGAGAAACTGGTGAAGAAAACAGATAAATTATAGCTCCAAAATGAATTATTTCCAAGCTACTCTCAGATAACCTGTTTGCACATGAAAGTTAAGGTCGGTTATTTAATAGAGATGTCATGGTGATATTTAGAGAATATGATGAAGAATCGTTTACGTGAGCCCTGGCTGGCGTAGCTCAGTGGATTGAGCACGGGCTGCGAACCAAAGTGTCGCAGGTTCGATTCCCAGCCAGGGTACATGCCTGGGTTGCAGGCCATAACCCCCAGCAACCGCACATTGATGTTTCTCTCTCTCTCTATCTCCCTCCCTTCCCTCTAAAAATAAATAAATAAGATCTTTAAAAAAAAAGAAATAAACTTAAGTAACCGAAATGAGTAATAAAAAAAAAGCTTAGTGTTTAAAAAAAAAAAATCGTTTACGTTATTATGGCTGACTTGATAAGGATACCGCTACTTGGAGTTCTGGAAGAATCTACCTGTTCAAATAATTAACACGTCTGTGGCTCACTGCTCCACTGCTGTAGCCATGTATCCCAAATACAAAAATAACAGTTGTCAGAGAAATGGGTTTTTAAGTGCAGAAATGGCAAAACTAAAATTATGTATGTCTTAAAGTGTCATCAAAAGTCTGCTTTTATATTGCTTTTTCTCCAGTATGAGAAATTACTGAATCTCTGGACTTGTTAGTTCCTAGCATTTACTTTGGAAATGCAGGAGTATTTTGCAAATAAATTACATATATCAAATTCCCATTTTGGCAGGTCAGTTTCCTACATAAAAAGTACCATAACTGAACCATTTTAACTCCTCTTAAAACTGGATAATTCTAGTATACTACGTCCTTAAGGACAAGGTCCTATAGTGCAGTCATTTTGTTCTTCCCCAATGCTGGATACACAGGACTATTTTTTAAGTGGCTTAAATACAAACAAATTTTGGAGGAGGCCAAGAATCTGGACATATAAGGTTGTTTTACCTGTAGTACTCCTTCAAATAATATTTATGATTCTTTTATGATAAGTGAACAATACAACCGAAGTGAGAAAGTTAAATTAATTCAGGAAGCAAGATGGGAAGAAAACCTTAATCATAAATACACCCTTCAATGTTTGGGCTGAAAACAGGTAATAATAGCAATTTCCTTTGGACTTAGTAACATAGCTCATCCACTGAGATGTTTTCCCTGCAATTTCTTTAGGAAAAGCCACAACAAATCTTCAGCAGTAGGAAAAGAGATGCCGCTGGAAGTCAAGGAGACTGGCACTCAGCCGCGAAGGCTGCGGAACAGTCAGCAACAGGGCCCTGTGTGTATGAGATCCTCTTACCTCACTGTAGGAGGAATGGAAAGAAAAACAAGCTCTGTATGAACTCTCTCCGGTCCTAAAGGGAAATGAAAACACAAAATTAAAAGGTCACTTTTCAAAACTAAGCTGAGTTCTAAATTTTGAGCCTTTCCATTTAGGCTATTCCAGTAAAAATTCCCTACATTCATGAATTTCTTCCTGGAACATGAGGGAACTCTTTCCATAAATATAAATATCTGTAGACATTCCAAAGAGCCAACATTAAGGAAATGTTCCCCTAAAATAATGATCATTATGCTACACCTCTACTTCAGTAAGGGCTCTATTCCCTTCCACATCAATCCATAACCCCCTGCCAAGCAAGACTCAGTCTCCAGCCATCTTACCCACCCAACTAGATAGGCCTCAGGAAGTACTGACTGATGGAACTAGCCCTGAGATAGGTTTGGAAGCAGCTTGTCTTCAGTTTAAATAGACTTTAAATGTCAAAAGTTATTTTCCACAGTTATAATATATCCTCTTCTTGGGCTTAGGCTAGATTGCATTTAAACTACCCAAAAGATCACCGATTCGATTCCCAGTTAGGACACATGCCTGGGTTGCAAGCTGGGTTCCCAGTTGGGGGTGTGCAAGAGGCAAATGATTGATATCTCTCACATATCGGTGTTTCCCTCCCTCTCTCTTCCTCCCTTCCCCTGTCTCTAAAAAGAAAAAAACAAACTCAAATAAACTAAACTAAACTAAACTAAATCAGATCATCTATCTCAAAGCAGGGTTTCCCTGAGAAAACCTGTGACATTGCTTTCTTACCTCACAATTACATTCGTTTTTCTGGTTCTTTCTCCAAACCACATTGTGGATGGCTTAATGCTGATTGTGTGGAGTGGAATCCTATTTCTGGAAGTAATTCCACAGGGTAACCTATTCCACTGAAAATATTCCTCTGCCTAAAAAAAGAGATTTAAACATATAGTGAAGCAGTTTAACATTTTCAACAAATATATGTGTAGGCAGGATCTCAGTAACAAAAGAAGTAAATATATTTTCAGACATGAAATGGAGACATGAGGAAATAATCAGATAATTTCAAAGTGAGAAACTAACTACAAAACAACTGGACCAGACTCTCCAAAAATATCAACGTGATGGAAGAAAAGCAAAAACTGGAGATGGGATCTACGTGAAAAGGGACTAAAGAGGACTGGGTGGATGCAACACATGATTCGTCATTAAATCCCCTCCACAAACTACAGAGGACACTAATGGGACAACCGAGGAAAACCGAATACGGGCTATATTATACCCAACAGTATTATATCCGTGTTAAATTTCCTGAGTGTGGGAATCATATTGTAGTTATACAGGAGAAGGTCCTTTCTCCAGTGATACATGTGAGGGTTTAGGGTGAAGTGCCACAAAGTCTGTGACTGAGTCGCAAATGTGTTGGAGGTGGACCTGGGGGAGCTAGTTACACGGAGACAGAGGGGCAAGAGCGCAAATGTGGCAAAGTGTTAACTAACTAGGGGATCCAGTCTCATAATTTTACTGTTTTTAAAATTTTCAAAATAAAGTTGGAGAAAAGTGTTTCTAGAAGGTTGAAAAACAATGGGACTGTTTTCCCAAAGACACGTTTAGATCAGGATCCTTCAAAACCACATGCACTCCGCTAAGGTCACATGTCATCCGGGCCTTTGCTGCTCTTTCCTCCACTCAGTGGTGTTAAGGCGACGTGACTTAAGAAATCTCTTAAGCCATTGGAACTAGTGGCTCAAGCTATGAGGGAAATGACAGGAGTAGCAGTTACAAATTACGCTACTTTGTGGGATGTGAGAAAACTTAGAGCAAAAAAAAAAAAAGGCCAATTGTGAGATTTATGGGATGTAGGGGAAACCAAAGACTACAAGTCCAACAGAAAAAGGACAGTTTCATTTTGTATCTACATCATTTTTGTCCATCCACGAATTCACTGGCTGTGTGTGTGTATGTGTATACACACAAACGAAAGGATGAAATAGATTCATGAATGGAAATTATAATATGCAGCTTACTGATCTTCAAAGTAATTTCTTACCTTGTAGCTCCCCTCCAGTGGTACTCCATGCTGTGGATAAGAATTCTTTTTTTTTTTTAATTATGCTTTATTTTAGGGTTGAGCAACTTTACATTAGGTTTTTAGCCAGTGAAACCAATATTACTACCATGGTAATTATCTAAATGATTAAAGGCAGTGTTTACTAAAATTAAAAGTACTCAGCATTTGAATGCTAAGAAACTTTAAATCTAGAGGAAAATTATGATCATGCATACTAGTACATTTGAAGATCACTACTTAGTGTTATAGAATTATTCCATAAATTAAAAATTTTTTAAATGTGAAAGGCAAATTCAAAACTTAATACCTGGGATTTGATAACAGAAGGTCATTTAATAAGAAGGAGTTCTATGAAGGCATTAAAACAACGATTATAGCCCTGGCTGGTGTGGCTCAGTGGATTGAGTGCCGGCCTGTGAACCAAAGGGATGCCGGTTCGAATCCTGGTCAGGGCACATGCTTGGGTTCAAGGCTGGGTCCCAGTAGGGGGCGTGCAAGAGGCAACCACACATTGATGTTTCTCTCTCTTTCTCCTTCCCTTCCCTTCTCTCTAAAAATAAATAACTAAAATCTTAAAAAAATTATTACGAGTTGCAAAGATATGAGAAACATTCACTTGAAATCAGACCAGCAAAACATTTAACTATTTCAAAATTTAAAGCAAAATTATATATAGATACTTATCTCAAATGAAAAGAAAATAGTTTCCAAATGCATACGTATCATGAGTCTCAAAAATAGCAATGGATTGTGAATATTTTCTCAAATTATGAGTTCTAATATTTTACTAATTTCACTACAGATAAATTATTAATTACATAATGCATTAGGTAAACATGTATCAAATGAGTATGAATACTTTATTAAAAAATCATAAGTAGTTGTATCTACTTACTAATTATGAAGTTTATGGTCATGTAATCAACAATGTACAGTTGCATGGCCTTGGGCTAATAACATAAGATCTCAGCCTCAGTTTTTAACTTTGTAAATTGAAGAGCCTAGAAAATGGAATTTCTGAGGTTCTTTCTGGACCTGAAAATCTGTTTCTCATGGATCCCACACACAGTGCAGAAAGTGACTGACTTGGTACCTTTGGGTGGCGACATGCATGGATCTGAGTGCTGCGGTCTGTGGTGAGATGATGAAGAATGTCAGGCATGTTTCGAAACATGTCTAGCTTATCCACATGAACCTAAGGAAAATTACAGGTAAAAAATTATTTTAATTGTACTCAAGAGTAATTACTCAAGAGTAATTATACAGGGGTAAATCATCCAGTTAGGGAGCTAACTCTTCTTTCTTGAAACCTAGTTTTTAGCATTTTAGTGCACATTAGTATTCTGTCAGGATATCAAAAGGCAAAGGGCAAAGATCATATTCCTATCAGTCATGTTACTGCCTACGATTGGTGGTAAGAAAGAAATCCAGAGACTCAGTTGGTAGATTGCACTGGATCATGCTAGTACTGTCTTTCAGTCCATTAAGTCATTCAATTAGCCCTGGTTGGTGTAGCTCAGTGGATTGAGCACCAGACTGCAAACCAAAGCATCGCTGGTTTGATTCCCAGTCAGGGCGTGTGCCTGGGTTGTGGGCCAGGTCCCCAGAAGGGGGCACTGAAGAGGCAACAACACATCGATGTTTTTCTCCCTCTCTTTCTCCCTCCCTTCCCCTCTCTAAAAATAAACAAAATCTTTAAAAAATGTTTAAAAAGTCATTCAATTAATATCTACTGTACACCTATATATCAAACTTTAGTCTAAATATTGGGTATGCAGCAGTGAATGCAGCAGACAAGAGCAATCAAGAATCACTCATGAGCACACTCGTGAACACACACACAACATGCCACCAGAGGGCAGATGGCAGGGGGAAGAGAGCTGGACGAGGAAGCGGAGACCCGTCCTCCCTTACCACACTCCTCTTTACTAGGGGGAAAGGGGGAGTGCAGATGCAAGTAAACAAATAAACACATAAATAAAAATTAAAACCTTGGTCACCTTTAGAATTTTAAGGCTAATGCAGTTTGAAGAATAAAACTAATGTGTCAGTTTTACCTAAAGCTTCTCTTCTAGTTACTTCAAAGTAAATAACATGTACATACAGTAAGTCCTTACTTAATGTCATCGGCAGGTTCTTGGAACTGCTCAGAATGACACATAGCAAAACCAATTTTATCACAGACTACTTGATACAAGCAAAACTGAAGTTCCTAGTCCTGACCAGGTAGCTCCGTTGGTTAGAGCCTGGCCCCAATACTCCAAGGTTGCAGGTTCAATCCCCAGTCAGGGCACATACAAGAATCAACCAATGAATGCATAAATAAGTGAAACCACAAATTGATGTCTGTCTCTCTGTTTGTCTGTCTGTCTCTCTCTCTCTCCCCCCACTCCCCAAATCAATGAATAAAAAATAAAAAAGAGTTAAATTCCTAGGGCAGGGGTGTCAAACTCATTTTCACAGGGGGCCACGTCAGTCTCTCAGTTGCCTTCAAAGGGCTGAACGTAATTTCAACTCCTTAACAGTTAAGGAGTAGTTACATTTACACAGTCCTAAAATTATTTCAGCCCTTTGAAGGCAACTGTGAGGCTGATGTGGCCCTCTGGTGAAAATGAGTTTGACACCCCCGCCCTAGGGCATCTCACAGGTGTTCTAATGAAATGACGTTCAGTGAAACGTTATTCAAGGACCTGCTGTACCTAATATGAGAACTATGAAATGGCACTAAAAAAAGTATTCTCACTTTGAACCAAAGAGATTAGAATAATGTCAAATTGCTGTGGCAATTAATACCAAGACAGGTATAAAAAGAATCTCAGCATAATCACTTACTTAGCCTGTGGCCTGTTCTACTCACTATCTGTTTATTAAGGACTAAGAAGTAACATTGAATTTGCTTTTCTGGCCTCTCTAAGGCGATTTTTAAAAGGGGTAAATTCTGAGATGTATAGAGGCAATAAGGAAACTCCTCATGAAAATAAGAAGGCTGAAAAAGTGGCCATAGATCATGGTTGAGGTCCCTTAATCAAAAACCTCAGTCTCCCTTTTTAAATTCCTGATCTGAGATTGTGTCTATCCCCTAAGTGAGATTAAGAGAGGGCTCCCTGCAGGGTGACTGAGTCACCCCCCAAGACCTGCTCCCCGGCATCCCCAGCCCCTCCTTAGCACGAGGTTGCTCCCGCCAGGGCCTGTAGAGCAGAAGCTTCCAGTCTGCTCAGTTTCACACACCACTAAAATTTGCAAAACAAATCTGGGACTGGGATATAGTCATTACCTCTATCTTCTGCCAAGAGAGGACATGAGGGAAAAAATGGTGGAGAGTATTGCAGATAACTGTGTGTGTGTATGTGTGTGTGTGTGTGTGTGTGTGTGCGCGCACACACTCGCGCACACACAACCTATTATCATTGTGATTTTAATTTAAAAGGCCATTTTAACACCAAAATCTCAGAATGAAAGCAAATTCTTCCTAAAATGGAGAACTGGCAACTTCATGCCAATATATTTGGACAGGATTTAAGGAAGAAAGGAATTAAAGAAGGACCTAGGAAGTAAAGATTTATAAGGGCAGGGAGGGAGGGAAGAATTTTTCAATTTCAAATGCAAAAAAAATACTAGATCATTTTGTTGTACTAAATTATATTGTATATACTCCTTAACTTGTACAAGTTTGTTAGCTAGGGGAGCTATATTAAAAGATAGGAAATGAGGTAGGATTCCAATGTCCAGCTAGTCCCAGCACTTTGTTTTGCTCAACACTGTTACCAAAACCCATCCTGTCTCCCCGGACAAGAGCAGAAGCCCCAGGCCCCCGTGGGCGCAGCAGACAGGGGCTCCCTGCTCAGCAGACACGCTCACACACACTGGGCTCTGCTGCTCCGGGTCCTGAGAGCCCAGCACGGAGCCATCTGCAAGGGACAGGAAAGCTCCGTCTAGCTGGGTCAGACACAGATCCATAAAGGCTCAGTGCTCTAAGACAAGGTTTTTGAGACATTCTGACCATGATCCACAGTAAGAAATATGTTTTCCCTGGCTACCCAGGACACACACACATACATGTCTGATTCCGCCATAAATTTTCACAAAACAATAATTACTCTGCAAGTAATACACTCAAGTATTCTCTAGCTCAAACTTATTTTCAATGCTGATCATAATCACTCAATTTATTTCATGTTTTTTTGAAAAAACACCTCCTCTAGGGGACATTTCACCAAAGGGCCACTGTCAGGTCCTCCCATGAGGATGGAATGAACAAAGCTGACATGCTACTTCAGAGGGGCTGCCAAGCTGTACCCCGCCCCCCACCCTACACACTTGGATAGGTTGTTTGCACCTTTATTGCTTTCAGGTTTGAGGGGAGGGGGAGGAAAGGTGAAGTGGGGAGGATGGAAGGGAGCAGCAGAAAAGAAAGAGCCGCCACCATACCTGGAGTCCAAATTCTTCACTAAGGTTGGTGAACAGATACTCATACCCGTAAGCTGCTTTGCAGTTCAGCCACACCACGTGGTACGGGCTCCGGGTGATCCAGCTCCGAACCAGCTCCACCACTCCACTCAGACACTCTCCCTGGCGGGGTTTTAAAGGCACTTAACGCTCCCATTCCTAGCACTCACAGGTAGTAATGCAATGGGAGCATTTGTGATCGGATTTGGTATCTCGGACTTTCTACTAGAAATATGCCATGCCCGGGTTCTCACCCAACTTTTCCAGAGAGACTTACCCGACTAGGAATTTGATGAAATTTTGGATCGCAGAAAGTAGTATCTAAGTACACACTTTGGATGTCTTTCACTCTGGGGGAAAAAACAGTTGGTGTTATTCTAATGTGAAATAAAATATGTAGAAAGTTTACAAACTCTCAGTTATTTTACATAATATTTCATTCCATTTGGAGTTTTTTTGTTAAAACAACTTCATTAGGAAATGATTTCTATACAATAAAATACATATATTTTGCATGTATGGTCCAGTGAACTCTGACAAATACATGTAACTATTACCTCAATCAATACCCTGTTTCAAGAAGAAAAATTAGTTTACTGTTACAAATATTACAATCAAGGTTGATTTCTAAGAGAAGTAAGGCTTGTATTCAGGGAAAGCTGAGCAACAACACTCTCTAAACGATGCGGTCTTGCACTCAGAGTCACACAAAGCTCTGCACCTGCCCCCATAGTGCAGAAGCTCCATCCGGGCAGCTTCTCCTTTGGCCAGTCTGAAGTCTCCCGTGTATAAGACAGTTCCCTGGTCGCCCTGAAATAGAAACCTGTGAAGAACACATATATCAGTGACTTCTCAGTCTCATACGAAACCCTAATAAGCAAATATATACTAATGCCATAGTGAGTGTGTCCTGCCAAACGCAGCTGCTATGACCCAGTGTTAATGGAATTTCAGTAGCTCTAAACCACACCAGGCATTCAGCCGCCACCTCTTCCCTGGGGAGGCGGGGTGGGGGGGGATGGCACAACGGAGATGCCAGAGTTTGTGACAGATGTCCCCTGAAATAGGTTAGCACGCTTGACTATGTATTGAGATCGTTCCTGCTTGTGGAGAGAAGAATCTATGTGACAGGAAAATGCAAAGCCAATGGGGGAACAGCTACTGAAGACTTCCATGATGAGAAATCCACATTTCAAACCTGATCTTCACTTCAACACCCCCCCGACAAGTCCAATTTGGAAATAAAGATTACAGAACATGCCAAAAAAAAATCAAATTTCCCTATTCATATTATTTTCTAGACCCTAAAAATGTAATATTTCTACAAATATTATACATATCTAGACATGACAAAATGGCAAAATAGATGAGCCCCCTTACATAACTGATCCTGGGCAATGACCAGCTGGTAAGAGAGTCACAACAATCTCTTCCTTCTAAAAAGAAAATAAAGAAAAAATAATAAGTTATCATTAGGACCCAGCTACACAAAGTCGTCTTTAATAAAACATATTAGAGTACTTCTCAGGAATGTGCCTTTTCTCATTTCCTCTCTCTCCAAACCCTGGAAACAAGTGGAATTCTTGCCCACAAAACAAACAGTTAAATGCCGAGTTACGACATGACACAGCAATTCCACGCGGACACATGCACACAAGAGAAACGAGCACCTAGAGACACCTACACGGCAAAGTTCACAGAAGCATTACTCGTACCAGCCAAGGGAAGAAACAGCCCAAATGTCTATTAAGTGGTTAATGAATCAACAAAATGTGATCTCTCCATACAATGGAATATTATTTGGTCATAAAAAAAATAAAATACTGATATACACTAAAACATGGATAAACCTTGAAAACATTTTAGGTAAACTGAAAGAAGTCAGTCACAAAAGTGCACATCTGCATGATTCCGTTTCTATGAAATTTCCAGGATAAGCAAACCTATAGAGACTTCAAGGAAAGTGGTAGTTGCCAGGGGCTGGGGGGAGGGAGAAAGAGGGTAACTGCTAATGGATACAGTTTCATTCTGAATGATGAAAATATTCTAAAATTGATTGTGGTGATGGATATACAACTCTGTAAATATACTAAAAGTCATTAAACTGTACACCTTAAAAGGGGTGAATTATATGGTGGTATGTGAATATCTCAATAAAGCTGTGCATGTGTGTGTGTGTGTGTGTGTGTGTGTGTGAAAGGCATGATGTAGTCTGGCCCCAAGTCACCATACTGCACCCTGTCCTGTTGGGGCTGAGCCTGACGGGCAATAATGCCTCTCAGCCCTCAGGACAGGGGTAGGGTTACGGGGTGCAGGGCGCAGAGCTCTGGACACACTAGCTCCTTCCATAAGCTGAACATTCATTCCAAAGCCCCCTTTAAAACAGGGTATCCCACTGGTTGGAGCTTGAGACACAACACACAAAGTCACAGAGCACAAGAAGAAACATAAAGAACCACAGTGGGACAGCAAGACTGTTCAGTGACAGCTGCCTGCTGTCTGGGGCCCAATTTTGAGAAAGCCTCCCACCAACACAGGCTGCAAGACAGAAAGGCAATGAGAGTAAGACTCAAAACAAGTTAGCAAACAGAGTCCAGGATGGCAGTGAGAAAGGTTCAGGCCATCCCTTTTCAGCCCCTCCTGAACTGGCCATGCAGTCCTCCCTCAGGACAATAATTTGATGAGGAGCACTTTGAAGGCCTATGTTCTCCAAAGAGGAAATGGGGAAAGTCAGCCCCTGACTGTCCGATCACAGCCTCACAGCAAAGGACACCCTCAGAGTTCACCCCGTCAACAAAGCAGGTTATAATCGGACTGGGGAATAAATATTCACTAGATTCGCAAAAAACAGGAAAATACCTCCTAGCTGTAGATATAATCTGAGGCAATAAATAAATAAAAGGTAGTCCACAGTCCTACTATTATTATAACAATATACCCACAACACAAAAACACCTGCTTCTAAATTTTTTAAATTGATTTTAGAGAGGGGAAGGAAGAGAGGGAAGGAAGAACAGAAGAAGAGAAGGAGAGAGACAGACAGACAAAGAGAGAGATCAATTTGTTATTCCACTTAGCTATGCATAAATTGGTCAATTCTGGTAAGGGCCCTGACTGGGGATCAAACCCACAACCTAGGCGTATCGGGACAAGGCTCTAACCAACTGCACTACCTGGCGAGGGCAACTTGCTTTTAAATTTAAAGACAACATATTGGATCCACTTGGACAGGGTCTGTTTCTTGAATAAAAAAAAAAAACTTCAGAAAAAAAAAGCACAATGTACATAAATTTCCTGCAAAAAGATTAAGGACTATTTTATATCCTGAACATTATAATAAGCTTATTGAATGTGACAGTGACATCATGAACTATCAACAACTGGCATCCCCATCACCAGCATGTCATACTAAACAGGAGCCATTCTGACAGAAGTCATAGCCAAGCCCTTGGAGGAAGCAAATAAATATGTTACACATGGTGTTTTTCCCCGAAAACTCACTCAATTCCAGTAATTTTCATTTATGGTTAAATGAGCATTCAAAATCAAGGATAAAGATAAATAATCATTTTAGCAATAAATAATAATTTTCAAAAGCATGAAATTTAATATTTAGTTACCTCGCCCGATGCTTCGTCAACTAAAGATATCTGGGTAGGAGTTTCAATTTCAATTGATATCTATTAAAATAAAATAAGAGGTCATGTGTACATCATAGTAGATACTGTCACAGTTTTTCATGGCTTTACAGGTCTTTGCCATCTCAAACACAGAAAGGGGGCTACGAGAAGTTACAGGCTCTCTGTCTATCAATTCCTAATTTCACTACAATAAATGTTTTAAACAGCTTGAAAACATGATGAAGCTAAAATAATACCTTTCTCAAGGCTCATGTGACAAAGTATATTAACTGCCTTATAAACTGATATCTACAGCAATTCTATTTCGACAAATTCAATCTTCCTCTCTTCACTTTCCCACCCCTTTGAACTTGAGTCTGTGTAAAACATGTAGTCCTGTGTTCTGTGTGTTTAGGTTTTGTGCTACAGAGCAGTCTGGATCCGTCTGTGACAAGTTGGCCTGATTCACTAACTTGAGCTGCTGCAGAGTGCTCCGAGGTAGACGGGCACATTTATTAGCATAGCAGCTAACATGGAGGGGCACTCCATAAGTAGATGATGAATGAATGAATGAATTAATTAACATAGTTTTTCATCTTTTATGTTCACACATGAAATGGCCTTTTCCTCCTGTGTACTATTATTAACTATTTTGCCGGCAGGTTTTATCTTTTTATTATCTCCTACAATAATTCTTCTAGTGTAGGGATTATTTGTTCTCTGACATTTGGCAAAATGCACCTATAAAACCATCAGGGCCTGGGGCTTTATTGAAGAAGAGATCATTAAAAATTGTTTTAGGCTTCTATCCCTTTTCCTCCTCCCTGTCCCCTCTCCACCTCCCTCCTTCTTGGCTTCCTTCTCCCACCCCCTTGATTCTGCCCTCCCTGCCCCTTACAAATAAATAAATAAATAAATAAATAAATAGTTTTAATTTCTTGGATAGTTACTGATTTAATCAAGTTTTCCATTTTTCTTGCCTCAATTTTATATTTTCCCACTTTTCCGGATATTTATCTACTTTGTCTAGATTATCAAATACACTACCATAGTAATTGTCAAAAATGCTTTGCTGTTAATAATAATTATTTTCCTTTTGTCATTCTGTACTTTTACATGAATCTTTTTTAAATCAATATTCACAGAAATTTTTCTCTGGTTCTGTGTAAACCAGCTTTTAGTTTTGTTCCTATTCCTTTTTCTGTGGTAGTTTTTAGTCTCTATATCACTATCTTGTCCTTTTTTCTTTATTATTTTGTGGAAGTAAAAAGGGGCCATACACTAATCTTGTAAGCTCAGGGGAGGCCTGTATGGCAGCCTTAAAAACTCAGAGACCTAAAGTAACCACAAAGATGGGCTGAAATTAAAACTTATTACCTAACTAAAAGCAGTTTATGGCAGGTAGCCATGTCCTAGGCTCTTCCCTGACAAAAGTAAATCTTTACCTTAACTAAGCCTGTCTATTCTCCTTTTACACCTAGAATAACAAACCTGTGGAATGCAGAGTAATTCCCCTTTTACTGACCCCTCAAGCACAGGAACCGCACCAGAGCACCAAAGGTCACAAACCCCCTCATTTTTATTATTATTGAGTTAATTGTTGACTGTTAACTATCCTGTACCCACCTATGTAAAAGAAGTATGAGTCTATCATTTTGCTTTTTATACAACCCCAAAGTTTTCCATGCTTTGCTTTCTTCTGCCTCCCTAATCTATCACCTAATCTATCACCCTAATCTATCACCAATGGACTTCCTGTACCCCACCGACATCTTCTGACAGTAATGTATGAGGCAGGGTGCAGAACTGACATTCTCTGGAGCATGTCCTCAATCCATTGAGGTTTTGCTTCCAGACAACTGTCATCGGTTTGGCTCAAATAAACTCACAAAAATTTTCTCCAGGTTTGAATGTTCCTTACATTGACAATTTCCTTCTTTCACATATCCTTAAATTTGCTTTGTTGCTCCTTTTCCTTAGTGAGTTGAAGATACTCCATTTAATTCTAGTCTTTCTTCCTTAAATAATATATTTAGTGCTACCAATTTCCCTTCAAGTACTAATGTAGCTGTCCCACACATTTGGACATGTTCTGCTTTCATTGCCCCTCGGTTCTATGCCGCGTGTGTTTTTCTTTACAATTTCATCTTTAACCTAAGAGTTGTTTATCGTACACATTTAGCTCCCAGATGTAACAACAGGATGACTCTAGCTCTGCTTTTATTTCTCATTTCCAACATCATTGCATTATGGTTAGAGAACAGATCACTAGGACTTCTTAAAGCTTCTTTTGTGACATAGTACATAGACAATTTAATAAAAGGTCTTGTTTTCTCGGTTTGGGTTTGAAGGTCTGGATTTCTCTTAGTTCACTTTTATCAATTATGTCATTCAAATCTTCTGTATTTTCACTTATTTCCTGCTTCCCTCATCTTTTAGCTTCTGAGAGTGGTATAGGAAGCATGCCAGCAATAATTGTTGAGTTTCCGTTTCCCCCTTCGATTGTGAGGTGGCCTTGTACTACCCCAACTTAGCTGAGCTGAAACAGTCCTAGAAGTCCCTGCCATGTAAACTTCCAACTCAGGGTTGAGATTGAGAAGGCAGAGGTAAACCAACAGGCATTTTTAATGCCGGGAAGGACACCAGGAATTATAACAGCTCATGTGTGCTGCTGATCTGCTGGCTCAACTCACACACATGAGGCAGGACGGCAGCTGCCCCGTCCTCTGCAGGATCTCTGTCCTCCTTCAGCCTCTCAGGGTGCTGGGCCAGGTGAGTGGAGCTCAGTGGCAAAGGGAGTGGCAACACTACTGGGGTTGAGAGGAGGGAAGGACAGACACAGTTTCCAGTTTGTCCTTGCGCATTCCAGCCTGTCTCTGCTCTTCGCCACTTCTTTCTCAGCTTTTCTTCCTGACTGCCGACCAGGCTGACCCATAGCGACTCAGGCCTAATACCACGGCCAAAGTTACAGTCTTGCTATTGTGTCCCTTTGTGGAAGGAGGGTGGACCCCACCCCAATTGATAGGCTGGAGGTGGAGACAAGAGAGGCGACACGTGCACCAAAGGGGCATGAAAACACTGCACTAGTCACAACTCGGGGCTCTCTGGGAAAAGGAGGGCAGCACCAGGCTGGAAGTGGCTCATGTGGTCAGAGAGAGAGCAGGGGTGAGTGGCCCTGGTTCTCACTGTGGTTGGAGGTGGGGCTGAGCTTGCCTGGTTTGAACTGCCAAGTGGGTGCCCCAGGAGGGGTAGGCTTTTGAATCGGCTTGCCCAGGTGTGAGGCAGAAGCAGAGAGAGGAAGTGGAAGTTGAAAGTTGTCAGCAAACAACAGACAGACTATGACACCTGTTCAGACTTCTATGCCAGTTTCCACATTATTTAGGGTTTAACCCACATAATGAACCCTAATTCTATTCATTTACTGTGGTTCGTGTTCTGTGGTCAAACATGGGCCATCAGTTATTACTTTATCCAGTTTGAGGTTACTCTGTCAATTCATACATTTATATCTACTTGATCAATTGTTCCTTTTAATAGTAAATAGCATCCTCTTTGAAACTTAGTGCCTTTTTTTTTTTTTTTGCCTTCAATTCTACTTTGTATGATATAAAAATTGCCACTCTGGCATTTTTAGCTTCTAACTGTTTAGTATATGTTTTCCTTTTTTTTTTTTTTCCATTTCAACTTGCATTTATCCTTTTGTTTTAACTATGTCTCCTGTAGACTAAGACAAGTGGATCTTTCTTATTTTTTTAACCTAAACTGAGAATTTGTCTCTTGATCAATAATTGAATTAAGTCCATTGATATTTATAGTAATTACTGTTATAACAGAACTTTTCCTGCCATCTTCACATACTTCTGTTTTTCTCCCCAGTATCTTCCTTCCATTAGTTAGATCCATTTTATTCTGCCAGATTCAAAACTACTCATTCTATTTTTATTCTGGTTATTAGCCCTTTCTTATTATAACCCCTAAGTTTTATTTATTTTTCCCATGGTCTAAATAAAGGATTAATTATGTTAATAACCATTTAACACTTGGAGTATTAAAATGCAACTTAGCAAGAGAGTTAATGAGATAAAACAAAACTAAGAACCAAGATCAAACTGTTGAGGGACAAGAAAAGTAAATTAAAAAAAATAAAATGTTGACCTCTTCTGAACTGCTGAACTACAAAGACTACCAATATTGTAATAAACACACAGTGTGTGAGTAAGTGGGCATGGAATAACTCCAACACTTTGCTTGATCCATATCAAAAAATACTTCCCAGTCACAAAAGAAGAATTAGCATCATTCAAAAAATAAAACTTACAATTCTTGTCTCCCAAAATCTGTACTTCGGGCTAGTTAACAACAACTCTTTAGTAACGGGCGAACAGTATAAGTAAACCTTCAAGCTGAAAGAGAAAGGAAAAAGAACTATTTCAGTCTGATCCAAAATGAGCCATGTTGGTGACCAGGAAGCACATTTCATCATATGTCAGTTCATCCTGAACAAGTGAACTGGCACAAGGGGTGTTAGAGAGTCCCCAGTATGCCAACGCCCCAGTGACTCTCTTGGTCCCATTGAGACCATTGAGTGTAAAGGAACAGGGAAGAAACAAATGGAAAAAAAAGTGTCCTCTGACCTCCTCACCAATTTTATGTTAAAGATGCATGTTTGTACATGATCGGCTATGTCTGGAAAGATACCACCAAATGCTAAACTACCTCTGGGCATGGAAAAGGGGTGTGGAGGGGACGACAGAAGGCTTCTGTGTTTTGCTTCATCTAAACCTATTCTGGTTTTTTTTTTAAGTGAGCAGAGATCAATTTCATGATAAATTTTAAAAATTCAACAGTATAGATTGAAGGTTAGGAATATAGTCTGTGGCAAACTGTATTTTCCAAAGGCAGCCACACTAATATATATCCCATACATACATACTCTTCTTACAAAACGGACATGGAAATCCCTCCACTGACCGGAGGTCTCTATGTTAATCGCCCCCTGAACCTGGGTAGAACTTTGTAACGGTGTTAACCAACAAAGCATGATGGAAGTGACACTGCAAAATTTGTGAAGCTGTATCTCCAGGCATATATCTGCCTGCTAGCTTTCTTCTGGGAAGAAAACACTTTTTTTTTTTTCAGTTTCCATTTAAGAAGTCCAGCTATCCTGAAACCACCATGGCAAGAGATTTTTTAGAGATAGGCCCAAGGTGCCCCAGCTGTTTGAGTCTTCCCCTAGGGGTCACACATGGCAAGAATGAGCCTTGAGATAAAGTCAGCCCCCACAGGATGCCCCAGGCAGGGAGAAACCAGCCACCCCGACTGTGCCCCAGCAGAACTCCTGACCCACAGAGACTAAGAGAGAGAGAATACATTATTAGTTGACTTAAGTCACTACATTTTAGGGTCAGTTGTTACGCAGCAATAGGTAGCTAATATACAGGCTCTAAAATCAGACAGACCTGGTTGAAATCCTGGTCCTGCCACCTACTGGCTGTGTGACCTTGGGCAACTAATTTAACCTCTCTGGTTCCTCAGTTTCCTCATCTGTAAAATAGAAATAATATCTATAATAATAATACCTAAATAATATCTATTCAAACAGTTATCAAAAGACAGGGATTTTCATCAGGGTTGCTCACTATGGTATCCTCAACACTCATCACTGGCACTCAAAGAAGCTACTGAACTAATAAGTATGTAGTGCCTAACATATATATATATAAAACAATCATTAAATATAACAATCATTATCAAGAACACGGACTACTGATATCCCTTAGCAGAGAACATTACACTTGACATCCAGTGGTTCAAAAGTCAAAAAGTCAGTGGGGCCCTTTCCCAAGATGTATCTTGGGGATTTGGAGTTTAGATTTAGGTAATGGCTGTAGGAAAAGAATACAACAGTTCAGCTTTAAGAAATAATCTGCCCTAACTAGTGTGACTCAGGGGGTTGGGTATCATCCTGTAAACCAAAACGTCTCGGGTTCAATTCCCGGTCAGGGCACATGCCTGGCTTGCAAGCTATGCCCCCAGTTGGGGGCATATGAGAGGCAACTGATTGATGTTGCTTTCACACATTGATGTTGCTCTCTCCCCCTCCCCCTCTCTCTAAAGATAAATAAATAAAATCTTTTCTTTAAAAAAGCCCAACAATATTATATGATTCTTCAGAGTAAGACAACCATTCACACACACACATACTCTCTCTTACAGAAATGAAAGCAAACGGGCTGCCGCCGCCGCACCCAATAGCATGGATGAATCACACAAAGGTGTTAAGTGAAACAGAAAAGTCCATTCAGTGTGACTCTATTTAGACATGAAGGTCAAAAGCCAGATCTAAACCATGATGACAAAAGTCAGAACAGAGGTGACCTTAAAGAGAGGGGGGCTGACTGGGAGGAGGAAGAGGAATACTAGCTTGTTCTAGTTCTTGATTTGGATGGAAGCTTCAAAATGTGTTCAACTGTGAAAGTTCATCAGATTGTAACATTATGGTGAATGCACTCTTCTGTATAGGTAGTACAACTCAATGAAAATGGTGACTTAAAGACAGACACACACAAATAAGTAGCAAAATACGTTACCTGCACTCCAACCTTCTTTTCATGGCTGGGGCTCTTAATCCTTTCATGTGATCTAAAAATAAAATAATCAAAAATCATAAACACACTATTTTTTTTTTCAGATGCTCACTTAGCCCAACGGAAATCAGTCATCTGCTCTTTTTAAAATTCCTTTTAAGAGAAAATACATGACAGGTTCACTTTTACAAGAGAGGTGACTCATATGGGGTATGGACTCTCTCTTCTGCAGGTGAAGAATCCATCTGAAAATAGGTCAGAAACTACTAAGAGTTGGCCATTTCTTCCTCGGAACCACCAGAAGCCATTTAAAAGGAGAATGGTCCCCTGAATCTTAGGGGCGAGTCTAAATCACTCTGAGTAGCCAGAGAAGAATGAATGACCAGTGCCTCATTCATTCAGAACTGCTTTCAGCAATTTCCTTTACCCCCTTCTTTCATTTCAGTCCAACCACCCCTCAGTCCTTCCTCTCTGTGACCCATTCAATGCCAGTCACTTAAGTTAGTCCATCTTGAAATTCAATCTTGCTTTCATGAAATCCTCTAGGAAATCCTTCAGGCTGAGGCCAGAATAAGAAGAGGTTTGTTTTCTTCATGTCTACTGTGACTGCCGGGTTGAAAGTGGGACATTTCCATCCACACAGGCTTGCTCCAGAGCCTTCCAAATTAACAGACACAAAATGATATTTAAAGAAAAGTAGCATTTAAACCAAACAGCACATTAAATACACAGTGCATTCTAAAATACATTCTGAATCTTGAGCACACAAAGGCCTAAATAACAATGACCAAACACTTCTAAATTATTGCATTAAATCAAACCAATTCTAATTTTTCTAATTACCACCTACACACACACACCTCAGCTTATCTGTGGCAATCCTTGATTCCAGTGAACACAAGGTGGTCACTGCACAGCATGTGGCCGGCCTTCACTGGACAGGTGCCTCCGCCAGACAGTCCAGCTGCCCCTCAGAGGGTGGATCTCCTCAGGTTACTCGTAGCCCAGGCCCTTAGAGCCTATAGGTACACCAGAGGGTGGGACTCTCAGTAACTGGGGTTTCTGGAGAGTTGGTGCTGTGGCAAAAAGGAGACAGGCTCAGGACTCTGCTCTGTGCTCTGAAACTAAGGCAGCAGGCAGCACCCTAGAGCTGTTTCATCAAGACCCCCCAACCCTCCACTCCTGACTGGTTGCCAAGAGAGCCTGAGTGAGTTTGCTAGAAGTGCACCCAGACTCCTTTCCAGGGCCCTTTTCTTCTTCCTTGACCAGGGTCAATCCTCCCCAGCACAGGGTGACCACTTCAGGCCATGCATCCCCTCTCATCCTCCAGCCCTCACTGATGGCTAGTGGTGCCCACCCCACTCCAAACACAGCATGGGGCTCCAGATGGCCAATAAACTAGCATCAGGTGGGTCCACGGCCTGCCCCAAATTGTATCAAAATATTACATTAACATGTTTATGCGCACATTTTCTAGCAAAAGAGTCCATGGATTTTATCAGATAGTATGCATTAGTTTGCTAGGGCTGTCATAACAGAATACCATAGAGTGGGGTGGAGGAGGGAGGCTTAAACAACAGAAATTTATCCTTTATAGGTCTAGAGACTGAAGTCCAAAGCTGAATTCTGGTAAGACCTCTCTTCCTGGCTTGGAGGCAGGCAGTCACCTTCTTGCTGTCTGCTCACTTGACTTCTCCTAGGTATGTGTGAAGAGAGAGCTCTTCCTCTTCCAGTAAATCCTATCAAATTAGAACCCCACCATTATCACCTCATTTCACCTTATTACTTCCTAAATGCCCTATTTCCAAACACAGTCTCATTGGGTTAGAGCTTCAACACTTGAATTTTTGGGGCTCAAAACAAAACGAACAAACAAAAAAGGTCAGGCAACAGAGGAAACCACCAAAAGCAGAAGTTGGGTGCTTTCACTTGAAGAGTTTACACCCTGGTGGGGTAAGCAGACCCACATGTGATTCCAGAACAGGAAGCATTATAAACTTCTCGAAAGTCAATTTCTTGCTCAATATACAAACTATTGATTTGACTTCACAGATTCCTTGAGATGAATTCTTTCTCCAAACTCATTACTCCTAAACATGAAGGCAAACCCCTCCGCCAAACTTTAATCATGGCTAACACAGTCAGAAATGCCAGAGAGACTTAACATAAAAGGTAAAAAAACAAAAAACAAAACAAACAAACAAACAGGGGCATCTGCATCCAGCGGCAGATTCTCAATGAAAAACAAAACCAAAATAATGTTATTCTTAAGAATATGCAGAAAAACCCTCAAAGAGGCTCACAGTGCTGTTTAGCAAATGGAGAGAAGAGCTTCAAATTTTCCTCATTAAAGAGAGATAATTGGTGGCTTAGAGCAAGACAAGTACAGGGTCTGTCACAAATGATGTCCTTTTTATTACAAAATCATAAGCATGTAATTCTGTAACATATCACACTCAAACACACCATATGACATTTTAGATGAAATGTTCAAATTAAAACTATACATTGTTACACCCACATTATTTCCCTACCAACCACACTCAAGCACACATTACTTCCAAGGGACCCTGTGTTCACCCAAAGCAGTTAACACCAACAATTTATAACAAGTTAAAGTGATTGATTCCACACAAGACAACAGTTGGCCTACACACCAACCCCGTGAAGAAGGGCAGGGTTTGATATCAGTAATTTATTTTAAAATCACACCGTGTGATATGTATGTGCATATGCTTGCTGTGCTCTGACCCACTCCAAGAACGGTGGGAGAATCCCACTAGCAGCTACTAGAGTGCTTCGGCTTATCTTCGCCTCTCATCAGTGCCAAAGGCTGTGATAATTAGCATAACGATATTCTTTGGTGAAGTTAGAGACACATTAGTCGGCATAATAGATATTTTAAAAGGACAATGGCTGTGAAATTCGTGGTGTTTCATTTCTGGAGGTTGGCTGAAATGTTTTAGAGACACTCAAGCCTTGTCGGGAGCATCTAGCCTGGAGGCCCTATCATTAGGGGTGAAGCTTTGGGCTTCATCCCTAACAGTATCCACCTGTGAAATCTTAAGTCTTCTGGTTGCCTGACCTGGCCATCTACGTATATATGGTAAACCATATCCTGCCTCGAGACTAAAATGAATCTTTTCTGTTGGATGTGGATAAATTAACTAAAGCGGGGCAGGGATGGGGAGAGCTTGCCGCTTGTTGAGCTTACAGACAGGATGTTTCATTTCCTAGTGCGAGAGTGCCTTCATGCTAATAAATGTCTACGACTATTGGCCGCTAGGAGAGCTTCCAGAACATAATCATTGTCCCTGATCACACTGTGCCGGTTCAGCCGCAACTGACAATTGTATAGATTAAAAAAAAAAAAAAAAGCCTCAGAGGCTGAGGAGCCAAACTGGGATAAGGTGTAGGTGCTAGTCTCTCTCCTAACCTCCCACAGCCCGCAGTCCCTCGCTCCAGGACCCCGACTCCCTTACTTTCCTCCACTCCAGGCCGCAGGCGATATCCCCGCAGGGCCAGAACCCGCGCAGCCGGGGTGCCCGGGTGCCGGGGAGCGGACGGCACGCCGCGCTCACTCACCCTTGTGGCAGTGGGACAAGAAGTAGGCACGGGCCTTCAGATTCTCTCTGTCGAAGCGGTCTATGGAGATGTTTGGATACTCAGCCATCTGTCCCTGAAAGCAACTCATAGCGCCAGTCAACCCGGGCGGATTAGCCTCCCCACCAAGCCCGCCGCGGAATCCGAGGAATTCTCTGACCCGTGCAGACACTTCCGGGAAGCTGCTTCCGCCTCACCATTGGCCGGTTGAGCTCAGCCATATCCAATCATAGGAGTCCTGTGTGAGGGGGCGGGGCCGGGGAGCGTTTTCTCCGCCCGCGACCGTGGGGGTTTAAACTTAAGAGATGTGCTGCTCTGAAATGAGGCCTGCGCTCAGCCTAGGGCCGGGGCAGCCGGGTTAGATCTAGGGTGCAGCGTGAGGATTGTGGCTCCTGCCGGAAACCTTGGCGCAGCACGGTATGGGGTTGGTGAAGAGTTGTCCATACCTATGCAGGAACAATAAGCGCGAAAGGAAACAACCGCGGTAGAAGGGAAACAACACCCAAGAATACAAAGTGGGTGCGGAGCTTTTCTTGAAATCAAGACTGTGTTCCTCTTCCTGCTTGTCCACTGACAGCTTGAAAGCCGAACTCAGTTTCCCTTCTCTTCCCACTTTCTGCCTTAGGGATAACCATGAGGATGAGATGAGAAAAAAAAAAATGCATCTGACTCATGGTAACTATTAGTTCCTGTTTCCATGTATAACTCCAAACCGAATAAATACACGATCCCTGATGATCACAACTCAGATGCATTGTTGTATCTAGCGTCAGGTTTGGAAAGATCCCAAAGTTAGATTAGCTGCTAGCCTCCCTCCCCCCTCCACTGCCCTTTTGAGTTGTATTTTTTGAGAATTCCATAAAACAAAAAAAAGTGGTAGGATGATGGGGCAATGGTTTGGAAATTTTTAAGCACCAAGCAACTTTAGGAAAAGATTTGTTAAAGTATTAAGATTCACCAAATAGTCACAATGGCATTTGTCACCCTCTTCCTAGTAATTCTGACACCAAAATAGTAATAAACACAAACAACCCACTTTTAACGCTTTGTGCATAGCACAGTGACAGCCTTGCAGTGGTTACATAAGTAACTAAGGTGTGCATTCGAGTAGTTATCAGAGACAACAAGTTTGCAGAACATTCTAAAGTAATGTTTCCACAGGGACACAAAGTAATATAGGAATAAATCTGGGAACAACTGAGTTCTAACCAGGGGAATCAAGAATCAGAATGCCACCTCTGAGAATATCAACATGTTCCTGCAGCGATGCTACTTAGAGTTCCATTCAAATACAAATTCTTAGGAAATGTCTTTTTAAAAAGGAGGAAGTGGTGGTAGACAGAAAGGAAAAGAAAATAATGGTGGTGGTGGTAGAGAGGCATAGATACCACGATCACTAATTTGAGTAGAGCACTCTGCTGATATACTATTGCTAACACCTTTGATTCAGTACAAGATGGTTTGTCTTAAAACAAAGGAGGGCTATCGCATTGGCTAGGTTGTTTATACCTAAAGACAAATTCTGCAGTGAGCCTGGTAGCTGAGCTCACAGACAGGGTGGCTTAAACAACAAATTTATTTTCTCACAGCTCTGGGAGCTAGAAGTCAGAGATCAAGATGTCATCAAGTTTGGTTTCTCTCTCTTTAGCTTCAGCTATCCAGCTCCTTGCTGTGTCCTCAAAACGGTCTTTTCCCCTGGATGCTCACACTGCTGTATCGCTCCCTCTCATAAGGACATCAGTCCTATTGGATTAGGTCCCTGCCCTTATGACATTATTTAACCTTAATTATCTCTTTAAAGGACCTATATCCAAACACAGTCATACCGAGGGTGAGAGCTTTAACATATAAATGATAGGGGAACACCATTCAGTCTATAACAGTGTCTGTGTTCAAATTTCCCCTTATTATAGACATAGTCCTTATAATAAGGATTAGGGGCCCACCCTACTCCAGTATGACACATCTGAACTAATTACATCTGCAACAACCCTATTTCCAAGTACGGTCATATTCTGAGGTACGAAGGGTTAGGACTTTAATGCATGAGTGGGCAAGAGGGAGCACAATTTAAGTCATAACAAAAAGCAATGTAAAATAATGTACATAATATGTATTTTATTAAGTTTTTAATATAAAAATAAGGTACTATGCTTACCACTTAGGATGAACAATTTTAAGTTTCAAGATGTATTATGTGAATTATAAGATTTAACTGCAGATAGCGTGTCTTCAGTTTTGTGATTTTCCCCTGTGTTCTGATTTCTGTTTCGGAAAATGTTGAGAGGATATTTGGCTTAGAACCAGCAGAGAAATGTATGGATTCATTCCAGTTAACATTTCAAAACAGACAGCTCAGGGACTAGGAGTCTAGTCACTGGATTTTGGAGGCCCAGTTAGAGCCACTACAATTTGTGAGATCTTGGTTAAGTTAAACTCCTGTAACTCAGTTTTCTCATTTGTAAAATAGAGGTAATAGATAAAGTCTCCCAGAGAGTAGATTGGTGCCAATGGGGGTGAGACAGGCCAGTAAGCCAGCACAAGCAGAATAGGGAAACTGAGACAGATAGTTAAACAAGCAGTTTGCAACCAGCTAATAAATCCTATCTTCCCTAAACCATGGACACTTAAGAGTGAATGGTTTACACTTCTCCCCAACCAGAGGGTAAATAACTTAAACCACCCTACTTAGGGAGATTGATAGCAGAAATCCAATTACTGCCATTTGTCAACCACACCCAAGGACAGACGAATTTAAGGGAATAAATCTCATTTTTGTACATCAGCATAAAGCTGAGGAATATACTATTGAGGTGCTCCCTAGGATCTTACCTAAGGTCTCCACCCTGAAAAGCTTTTAGAAGGAATCTCAGCTCAGGCTCTCCCTCCCAGGAGCACACCTACAACTTTCCCTCCCCGACTTCTTCCTCCACAGACGTTCATGTCCTAAACTCTAAGGGACCCCGTGAGGCTTGCAATCAGGGAGTGGTGGGCAGCAGCAGCAGCTCATCCTGAGCTAACCCCCCAGTGCTGTGCTCAAGGCTCCCTTTTCTCTGACTTCTTAGTGAGCTAAAGCAGCCCCACCAAGGTTCATTTCCCTACTTAGTCCCTCTCCTGTTGCTTCTTTTATCCTAGGCCCTTCCTTCCTTGCTTCACCATCCCAAGTTTTAATAAACATCCTCTAAAAATCACCTGGACTCCTGTTGTGAAATGTTTCCTGCACGAAGTCAAGAACTTGGCCCTAGGCAGACCTGCTCAGGGCCAAGCCCCCTTTCCGGTAGCAGGGGTTGGAGGAACAGGTGGAGGTGGTCAAAAGGTACTGATTTCCACTTATAAAGTGAATAAGTTTTGGAGATAAAATGCACAGCCTGGTGGCAATGGTTGACAACAGTGAATTGTATCTGTGTATTTGACAGTTGCTGAGAGAGTAAGTCTTAAAAGTTCTCATCTCAAGAAAACAAAATTGGAACTATATGAGGTGATGGATGTTAACTAATTGTGGCAATCATTTGGAAATAGATATATAGATATCTCAAGTCATTAGTTGTATACCTTAAACTGATATAATATTATGTGACAATTGCATTTCAAAACTAGGGGCAAAGAATGAGTTAGTGATACAACCAAAACAACATGGATGTATCTCGAAATAACTATGCTGAGTGAAAGAAGCCAGATAAAAGAAGAGTACATATGGTATTATTCCATTTATATAACATAATAGAAAATGGGAGCTGATCAAAAGGACATAAAGCAGATCAGCAGTTATCTGAAGGAACAAGGAAACAAGTTCATTAACTTGATTATGATGATGGTTTCACAGGTGTATTCATATGTCAAAACTTACAAAATTATATGCTGTTAAATATGTGCTGTTTTTTGTATTTCAATTATAGATCAATAGGTTTGTAAAAAATGTTTGCAGCAGTGTATAGGAGAATGGCAACAAAGTAAACAAGATTGTCAAGGATATTCTTTCTCTAGAGGAGCTGATAGATTAAGAAGACATATGCGGCTAACTCACATAATAGAAGGTGGTTTCTTAAAATCACAGTGTATGCTTATTTTACATTAGTTACATATACCTCTCCACCACCTTTACCTCTTCTCACTTTCTACCCTCAACACTGACTGATTAAAAAACATTATTATTAAACTGGAAAAAAAGGAAGGAAGGAAGGTGAACTAACTAAAGCCCTGGAAGATAATAAGTATTCAATAAATATTAGCTGTTATCATTTACTGGTCATCTACTAAGTGTCAGGTACTGTGCTTGAACCTGGAAGTACATAAAGCAATTAGCTATGGCATACTAAGAGCTCACAGTCTGGCAGGAAGAGAAACCCATAGATAAAAAGGTTTTACAGTACTCTTCACGGAAGTGTGCTCAAGATGTAGTGATGAGACCAAGAAGAGAACTCAATTTTGCAAGAAGAAAGGGCCATTAGAAAAACTGAACAAAGAAGGTAAATTTGAGTCCAGCATCCAGGCCCTTGAACAGTGGAAGTCCCTGGAATGAGCTTTCATTCACTCTGGGCACTGAAAATAATTCTTTTTAACTAAAGTGTTGAACTCAAAACAGTTGAAATAATAGGAACTTAACAAGGGTAGTCAAGGCTAAACCCTTGTTAAGAAGGAACCAGACCATGATAAGAAGGAACCAGACCATGAGGGCCTGTCCAGCAAGCCAAAAATTTTAAATTTTAACTTGAGTGGAAGTGGACAGCCTGGGTAGTTTGAAACAAGGGAGTGACATGTTAGATTAGAACAATATTTGTCAAAATGTGGACTCTGGAAGAGCACCAGCAACAATATTGGAGAAATTGCTAGAAATTAAAATTTTTCTACTCCAGCCCAGACCTACTAAATCATAAAGTCTGTGTGTGGAGCCCAGTAGCCTGTTTAACATACACTCCAGGAGATTGTGACAGATTTCAAAATTTGAGAACCACTGGAATCAAGTTTAGAAAGAACGCCCAGACAGTCAGGGGCAGGGAGGCTGGGTAGGATGCTATCACAAAATTCCAGGAAATGTAATGTTGTGGATTCACCGATTCACTCAACAAATAGTCCCAGATCACCTCCAGTGTATCGGATACTGTTCTAGACACTAAAGACACAGCAGTGTGCAAAGCAGACACAAACCCATGTGGTAAT